GCGTAAGTACTCTTCTCTGTCGCATGGGGACAAGAGCTGATAGTGGGTGGTAGGGCGTGGACTTACCAAGAGCGAGATGCGCTGGCTGCTTCCTTCCAGGAGATGTACTGGGCTACCGGCATCTTCGTACGTCAATCCCCCCTTTCTTCTCTTGGGGCGAAACTGACATACTCCAAAGGCCACTGTCACCATGTCCCTCCTCCTCCCCTTTTCCGTCAAGCCCTTCAGGGAGAAGTACTACGAGGCTTTCTTGATCATCCACATTTTCCTCGCTGTCGCTACTTTGACTTTGCTCTTCTTCCACTTGACCGTGTACGATGGTGAATACGACCCCTTCATGTGGGCTTGTGTCGGTGTCTGGGTACGTCCTCTCCCTCTCTACCTCAAGAATAACAAAACTGACATTCATGTAGGCTTTCGACAGGCTCATGCGATACGTCCGAATCTTCTACCTCACCTTCAAGGCTGCCAAGGGCAACAACGCCACCATGGTCGCCACCGGCGGCGAGAACGGCCTCATCCGACTCTCTGTCACCACCTCCCTCAAACACACCCCCACCCCCGGTATGCACTACTACCTCTACACCCCTCTCTCCATCACCCCTTGGGAGAACCACCCCTTCACCCTTGCTTCTTGGCACGAGGAGAACGGCGCTACCGTGTTGAACTTCCTCATCGGTACGCAGAAGGGTGCTACGGGAAAGATGAGGAGGATGGTCAGGAAGGCTGAGAATGGTGTTGCCAACCTTCGAGTGCTTGTCGAGGGTCCTTATGGACACACTGCTTTTGTCCGACGATTCGACCACGCCCTCTTCGTTGTTGGTGGCTCCGGTATCACCGCCGCCTTGCCCTACTTGCACGACCTCAAGCAGCGTACTTCCTCCAACGGCAGGTGTGTTACTCGAGAGGCGACTGTTGTGTGGATCATCAAGAACAACGAGTACGCCGCCGATGTGCTCGCCAACGAGCTTGCTGCTGTGCGCGATGTCGAGGGTTTGGATGTCAACGTCCAGATTTACATCACCGCTTCCTCTGGCGTCACTACTCCTTTGGTGGAGCAGGCTCAGATCCAGGCTATCCCCTACTCCACCGATGACTCTTCCCCTGTCACTTCCCCCACCGCTGAAAAGACCCTCGCTTCCGCCGAAAAGTCGCTCAACTCTTCTTCCTCCTCCACATCCCTCGCGCCCAAGCTTTCCGGCAAGGAAGGTGTTCGCACCGGTCGACCCCAGATGCGGGATGTCCTCTCCTCCTCCCTCTCCAAGCTTGTCGGGTCTGAGACTTTGTGTGTGTTGGCTTGTGGACCGGGTGGTATGATGGATGACTTGAGGGCGGCTGTGGTGGATGCTTATGGTACCGAGGAGGGCAAGGTCGGCCCCGAGCAGCTGAGTTACTTTGAAGAGTCTTTCTCTTGGTAGGTATGGTGTCTACATGGGATGGTGGTTTATTACTTGGTCTTTTTTGGGTTATGGATGTTATGATGTATATCCGGTAATACGCTACATGCTATGGGCTTTTGCGTTGAAAAATTTCTTTTTGGAAGTGATCCACAAGATGGTCGCTTGACTGACTGTACTCCAAATTGCTCCACGCACGACTGCATGCGCAGAGATCAAGTCATGCCGATACGGCCTACTATTATTCGTACACAAGTGGAGCAGAAATTTCAAAATGACAGTCATGAGAAGCGATTTCGGAGCCTCCGGCCAAACGGGCGAAAACAACGCTTCGCGCTGATAGGGTGAAACGGAGATTTCAGCGCTCTGCGCATACAAATTTGATTCCGCCGCACGGAATGTCCGGTATCTCCACTGATATCACTACCTATCTGGGCAATCGCTGGCTATCTGATAGCGCCCGCCCCCCCTGCGCCCTGCCCAGCCTTCGCTTCTGTCAATACATATACAACAAGCTGCGCTCCACAAGATGCACAGGGTTGGAGCGGTCCCAACATGGCCATGAAGCGGAGTGGTGAACGGGAGTCTTCGCTACCTGCCACGGCCGCCTCGCAGCTTTGCTTGTAGAGAAGGAATCTCCGTATTATTTGGATCTATCTTGCAAAGAACCTGTATTTGGCCAGGCACGCACTAGTTGAGCGACAACTATGTACCGTCCTTTTGGTACCATTGTGGGATGCATCTTCCTTTCGATACCTGCAGCTGGCTCGCATCAATGCTCACATCTTATGACCGGGAATTATCCTCCATAGATGCATCAGATGTATGTTGGAGAGTGCACCCGGATTACCCGTTCCCACAAATTTACCGTTATCGGCCGATTCAGGGTTTGCGCTGCGCAGAAGGTCGATCGATGTCATTCTTCCAAGCGCTTCCTCCGATAATTTTGCTCACACCCATATATAACCGCATGCCGCTCCACTATTTCCCATCCAGCCATCACTCCCCCTCCACAACACCATGGGTTTCCTCACAAACTTCATCCACAAGAAGGAGGCTTCCGTCGCCGTCACCAGCACCGCCGAACCTGGCGCGGTCGGCAATGTCAATGTCCTCAACGACAAGGACGAGACCCCCCACGAAGACACCGCCAGCGCCGACCACAAGAAGGAACTGGGATTGGAAGAGGGTAACGGGGAGCCGGACTTTGAAGGAAGTGTGGGGAACGAGGACAAAATCGATGAAGACGCGCAGCCAGGTGTCAAGACTGCTCAGGCGACCACCTTGTCCTGGTCCAGAACATCTCTGGTCATCCTCTACGTCTCGTGAGTCGCTTCTGCCCTACTTTGACCATTCTGACCTCCCGCAGCATGTTCCTCCTCTACTTTGTCAACGCCTTCCAGTCTTCAATCACCGGCAACTTGACCGCCTATGTCACGTCTGGCTTCTCCGCCCACTCCCTCATCCCCGTCATCAGCATTGTCTCCAACGTCATGAGCGCTGCCACATACATGCCTCTCGCCAAGGCTTTGAACCTCTGGGACCGTGTCTGGGGATTCATCATCATGGCCGGTCTTGCCACCATCGGTCTTATCCTCAGTGCTACGTGTAACAATATTGCCGTGTACTGTGCTTCTCAAGTGAGCATTTTCTCTCCCACCTCGTGCTTTCTGACCCTCGCTAGGTGTTCTACGGTATCGGATTCGTCGGCATGACCTTTTCCATCGACGTCATCACCGCCGACACTTCCCGTCTTCGCGACAGAGGTCTCGCCTACGCCTTCACCTCTTCTCCCTACATCATCACTGCCTTTGCCGGTTCAGCGGCATCCGAGCACTTTTACGACAGCAACTGGCGATGGGCTTTCGGTTGCTTCGCCATCGTTCTTCCTGTTGTCGCTACGCCTTTGATCTGGGTGCTCTGGCACAACAAGCAAAAGGCCAAGGCTGCTGGCCTGATTCAGAGGGTCTCGAGCGGGAGGACGCTTTGGGAGAGCGCCAAGTACTACTTTATCGAGTTTGATGGTGAGTCTATTCTTCTCTCGTATGAAAATCTCGTTGACGTTTGCTAGTCATTGGTGTCTTCCTCATCGCCGCCGGTCTCGTCCTCTTCCTCCTCCCCTTCTCTATCGCTTCTTCCGAAGCCGACGAGTGGCGCAGTGCTTCGGTCATCGTCCTTCTTGTCTTTGGCGTTCTCTGTCTCGCCGGCTTTGCCGTCTCTCAGCGTTGGCTCTCTCCCAAGCCCTTCGTCCCATGGCGCCTCCTCACCAGCCGCTCCGTCATTGGCGCCTGCATGCTCGACTTCTTCTACCAGATCGCCTACTACTGCTGGTACTCCTACTTCACCTCCTATCTCCAAGTCGTCTTTAACACCTCCATTTCCGTCGCCGGCTACGTCTCTTCCATCTTTGACGTCGTCTCTGGTGTCTGGCTTATCATCGTCGGTCTCCTCATCCGAAAGACTGGCTACCACCGATGGCTCCTCATGATCTCGGTGCCCCTCTTCATCCTCGGCGAGGGCCTCATGATTCACTTCCGAAAGCCCGGAGGCCACTTTGGCTACATCATCATGTGCCAGATCTTCATTGCTTTCGGTGGCGGTACCATCACCATCTGCGAGCAGCTCGCCGTCCTCGCCGCTGCTTCTCACAACGACGCCGCCGCTGTCCTCGCCCTTCTCGGTCTCTTCGGCTACACCGGTGGCGCCGTCGGCAACTCCATCTCTGGCGCCATCTGGACCCACACCTTCCCCGAGGCCCTCCAAAAGTATCTCCCCGCCGATGCCCTCGCAGACTGGGAAACTATCTACGAAGACCTTGACACTCAGCTCAGTTATGAGTGGGGCTCGGAGACGAGGACGGCGATCATCGATGCGTATGCGGATGCGCAGACGAGGATGTTGATTGCGGGTACGGTGGCGATGGCGATTGCGTGGATCTTCGTGTTTGTGATCAAGAACCAGAAGGTGTCGGCGCTCAAGCAGACCAAGGGGTTGTTGTTCTAGATGCAGAGGTATGGTGATCATTTCAGTATACTGGTTTGGTGTTTTCGGATTATAATATGCATAGGCTCTCATTTTCATATCGTTTGGGGGCTTGTTCGACGAGGGTCTGCTGTGATGTACGATTAATACAGTAACACGTACATATAGCATGCTCGACGTTTCGGAGGCTAGTGTCATCAAACCTCCTAGAACGGTGTTGGCAGCTCGCACCCAACGCAACAATCTTGCATCGGTTCAAATAAAGATACCACCAATTGTTTTGACTGCATTCAAAAACCAAACCTTCTTGTGACAGAGAGACCCCTCCCCCCCCCCCCCCCGACTCCAAGACGAGATAGATAACCCGTAAAAGTTTGACTGCTTATGGCTCCTTTCTCTGACTTGTCTTTGAGTTTTCGGTCCCAGCTGCCGATATTAGAGCATGACAAGCACCCCAAAGCCCTAGAATAGCGCTATGTTTCCAAAAAGGGACCGATGGTCGAGATCCTTGGTATCACGAGGGATGCGCGAAGTGTTTATGGGGACTGCGACCCCTCTCTTCTTCCTCTAACCACTCACCCCGGCCCCTCATTGCTGTGCCAGGATCGGCGATAACACATCATGTCCTCCACCAGTGCTCTTCCCACCACTAGTACACCATCCACCAGAACCAGCCATACCAGGACACATGTCGTCATAACGCCAGTCCTCCTCCGCGGCTGTCTTCCTTCTCTGGGACATACCACCGTCGCACGGCGCAATTATGAAGGTCAAACATCCCATGGTGAGACAACGTATGTAAGGACAATAACGACCCCTCGTGTCGAGACACGCTTCTCTGCTCTCGATCTTCATAATGACGGTGAAGGTCATGAGGATCAAGCGGCACTATCGCCCGAGACTGAAGCAGCCATCACGAGATACGTGCGCTCGGTAAAAGAAGCGTTGGGATTGATGCCGAATGTGCCTGCGTTGCCGCAATGGGGAGACCCATCAGTAGCTTTTGAGCGCTGCACTACTCGATCTCGAATGCGCCATTTGAGTCTGCTCACAGAGCACACTGCTCGTATTTATAATGAGGGAGACGAAGGTCGAGAATGGCCGTTCACTTATCGCCTTTACCCAAATGACCAACAGTATTCTAATAATGGCGGGGTGCTTCCTGGGCCAGAAGACCAACCGCTCAGATGGGGAGACTACGCAAACAGGTTGGAACGGGCGGTGGAGGGTGCCAAGAATTTGGACGAACTGGATGCCATCCCGGAAGGGACTGTCAAGATTGCTTTTACAACCGATATCGTCCAGCCTACAAGGCTGAACAGAATCTCCCGTCCAGAGGGAGAGAATGATACGAACTCTCTGCAGTCCTGGAAGCTTTTGCATCCCGAAATAAGTGTCAAGAGTCGAGTCCAAGATGATTCCCCCGAATGGATCAAGAGGGTTGAAAGCGCGCAAGCCTCGTATGACCGATCGATCTCTACAGCGATAGCATCTTCATACCGGCCCTTGGCCAGCGTTGACCTGACACCACAAACAAGAGTTCTGGAATTCCTGGACGATATTAGTCGGAATGAGCATTTGCTGTTCGATTATGCAGCACACAATGTGGCGGAGGAGGTGTCTTTCGGGGTGGGAGGAAAGTATACAGATGAAGATGGGGAGGAGATCGTGGATGGGCTTGCGGTAAAAGCTGCTTGGGTTGATCCCGATACGTTTGAAGTACTTCGTGGAGAGCCACCCAGAGACTGGCGATCTCAAGCTGAAAGGCGTTTCGATTATGAGAAGGATATCGAGAAGGGCCTTGAGACGATGGGGAAAGATCTGGAAGAAGGGAGCCCGAGTGGTTTGCCTGAAGAGGTATGGGGCACCTGGGAGGAGTAGTGCAATGCAATCGGAAGTAGAGGCATGAGAATAGATATTGAATGAACAAAGTGAAGCTTGAAGCGCCCGCGAACCGGGGTCAAACGCTCATCAGGCGGTCGCCCCCCCCCCGAACACTTGCGAAAAAAATATGACTGCTTACGGCTCCTTTCTCTGACTTGTCTTTGAGCTGAGTGCGGGCAAAGTGCAGGTTTGCGGTGCAGATTGAATGAGCAGATTGAATGAGCAAAGTGGAGGCAGAAGCCCCCCGCGACCCGGGCTTCATCCCCCAAGCGGTCGGTCCCGCCCACCGTCCCGTACGCCGCTAAGCCGAGCTATCTGTTGATTTCCATCTCATGATCCTGATTTCTGTTTTACAACTATACCCAATGGGCTATACAATACCCTCTATCACCTCCCTCCTCGCTCAGTATCCTACTTCTCTCGCCCTCCTCGTCCTACTGAGCTCTATCTTGTTCACTATGCCCCTTTGGAAAAGCAAGAAACCGGCGTATAAGCCTGAGGGCAAGGTACGTTCTTCATCCTTTTCCCTTCCAGTAAAGAGATCAAGGGGGCAGATCTGATGATGGGAAATGCAGCATTGTTATATCACAGGCGGCTCGCAAGGACTGGGCAAAGCGCTGGCGGAGAGTCTGGTCAAGCAGGGTGCGCATGTGACTATTGTTGCGAGGGATGCGAAGAGGGGAGAGGGGGTAGTGGAAGAGTTGAAAGTGAGTTATATGATATTGAGGATGAGGACTCGCATCCGGTAGATGGTGAAGGGGCGTCAGGCTGGTGGTGGGCCAGAGGAAGAAGGATATGAAGCGGATTACGAGGACCGCGCGACGTGTCGACAAATTCGCTGATACCCTGCTCGTAGTCGCTCGCGAAGCCTGGTCAAATTATCCAATTCATCTCTGCCGACCTCTCCTCCCCGACCGATTCTGACCAAGCTCTTCTCGCCGCTTGCGTCCCCCACAAAGGTCTCGCGCCGGACTACATCTTCCTCTGCGCAGGTTTCTCGCAGCCAAAGTATTTTGTTGAGAATACGAAAGCAGAGATCAAATGGGTTTGTCATTCCCATCAGAATGATGATGATAAGGGACTGATGAGATGTACAGGGTATGGACGGTGTCTACCTCGTCTCAGCCTACACCGCCCACTCCGCCATCTCCCTCATGGTCTCCCAAAACCGCACCGGCTCTCTGACATTCGTCTCCTCCTTCCTCGGCTACACCTCCTTCGCTGGCTACTCCACCTACTCTCCCGCCAAATACGCCCTCCGCGGCCTCGCCGACGCGCTCCGGTCAGAAATGTTGCTACACGATATTGATGTGCATATTTTCCATCCGTGTGGGATTTTGAGCCCGGGGTATGAGAAGGAGATGATGACGAAGCCGGATGTGACGAGGAAGATTGAAGATGGGGATAAGCCTATCACGCCTGAGGAAAGTGTTGCGGCGCTGGAGAGTGGTGAGTCTTGCCCACTTTGTGATATTGCTTTAGCTGATATGGGGCAGGTTTGAGAAAGGGCTACTACCAGATCACCGACAACCTCGTCGCCGACTTTGTCCGCCTCCGGGCTAACGGCGGTGTCCCTTCCAACAACTTTGTCCTTGACTGCTTCTACCTCTTCATCTCTTCCGCAAGTCCTCTTTCTCATCTAGCGTGATGATCATGCGCTAATGGAAAGAGTAGTTTGGTATTCCTATCTGGAGGATGTTTGCGGATTCGATTGTCCGAGGTGGGCGCAAGACTATACATGAGGATTATGCAAAGAGAGGGTTCTTCCAGGGAGCTGCCCCCGTGGCTGAGTGATGTACTGAATTTTCGGGTATATACAAGTACGCAGTGTTGAGGCGGCCGAGGTTGGTCCAAAAAAATACACTCTGTATTGACAGATACGAGTTGACGACCCAAGCATGAATGCTGTGTATAGATGGTACTTGATGACCTTGATTCGTATTCTGACTTGCAACCTCAGCAATATCCGAAGAGATGACCCCGTCGGGCGAGGTATATCACGATCGCAGTCCCTTATTTGGCTCGGAACCAAACAATTGGCCGAGTTGGCCCAAGCGCACCGGCCAACCGGGCTTGCATTCTTGTCCTTTTGTTGTACGCTTTTTTCTCTCGATTTATAATCCCCTGCAAGTCTGCACACCACCCACAACAGCCCACCATGTTTTGGCGTACCAAGGACCCGTATGCACCCGCCGGCAAAGTAAATCTCCTTTCCACCCCTTCTCGATAAGATTGACATCTGATACGCTGGACAGCACTGCTATGTCACCGGTGGTACCCAAGGTCTCGGAAAAGCCCTCGTCAAAAGTCTGGTCAAACAAGGAGCCCACATGACTATCGTAGCGCGGGATGCAGAGCGTGGGGAGCGGATTGTTAAAGAGCTACAAGTAAGTCTTCCACCATGCCCTCAAGCCCGAGATAGGGTCTTGAGCGTAATGTGTGTTTGTGACTGATATGGTCACTCAGGCTCTTGGGAAGTCATCTCAGATCATACAGTTCATCTCTGCCGACCTCTCCTCAGCAGATGAATCCGACCGAGCGTTGCGCGATGCGCTGGTGCCGCATCAAGGTCTTGCGCCGGAATACACTTTTCTTTGTGCGGGTTTTGCGCAACCAAAGTATTTTGTGGAATATACGAAAGAAGAGATTCAATCGGTACGTTCCTACTTATTCTCCCCTCGCTTCAGAAGGAGGAGAAAGGGAGATAGAGCTGACGGTCAAATCGAAAACAGACAATGTCCGGCAACTACCTCACCTCAGCATACACAGCCCACTCCCTCCTCTCCCTCCTCATAAACCAGCACCGCCACGGCCGCTTAACATTTGTATCCTCATTCGCCGGCCTTACCTCGTACGTAGGCTACTCTACCTACTCGCCCTCCAAATTCGCCGTCCGAGGACTCGCCGACGCGCTACAATCAGAGATGCTGTTGCATGATGGGATTCGGGTGCATCTGTTTGTGCCGTGTGGGATTTTGAGTGAGGGGTATGAGAGGGAGATTGAGACGACGCCGGGGATTACGAGGAAGATTGAGGAGGCGGATACGCCGCTTGTGCCGGAAAAGTGTGCGGAGGCTTTGGAGCTTGGTATGTCTTCGTTCCCCTTTTTCCCTTTCCCTTTGTCTCTGGTAGACGACAGCTGATTTGAAGTATAGGTCTGAAGAAGGGGCACTACCAAATAACAGACAACGTCCTCACCGATATCGTCCGTCTTCGTACCAACGGCGGTGTACCATCCAACAAGTTCATCTTTGATCTCTTCTTCTTGTTCCTCTCCACTGTACGTCTTTCTCTCTTCTACAAGCCTGAACTTGGATCATGGGACATTGAAGGAGAAGGGATGGAAGAGCTGATGGATGGAATGTAGTTTGCAGTCCCGATCTGGAGGATGATGTGCGATTCGACAGTCCGCGCTGCGCGGAAGACTATCCATCAAGAATACGCCCAGAGAGGGTTTTTTCAGGGGTCGGGTACGGGTTCTGCTGTCTAGTGCTGATCGCCATCATGAGTATTTGTGTATGTATGTCATTGATCTGTGATAATGGTTGTCTTGATGTATGTGTCTATTAGATATTCACGCGTCGAACAGGAAGACAAAAAGATCATTCCAGCTGATTCGGATGACATGTGCACTTCATTCAGTTTCTCTACTGCCATCGTATGTCCCCTGGCAGATAGATTCACAGACGCCTACAAGTATAATACTATCTTGACTCCCACGTGCCCCGTCCCCAGCCTCGCTCCTACCTTGAACGACTTCGCCGCGCATCGTTGCGAGACGATCCTTGAACGAAGCCTCAGACTCTGAGAGCGTTTTGGAGTGAAACTCTCGCCCTCTCGACTGCTGCCCCGCAAATACCTCAACATGGGAAGTTCTAGCCAGACGACTTTCACCAAACGTCCATCCCTAAGCCTACCATCATCGTCATCGTCCACCCCATCCTCGTCCGTATCAGCCATCCATGCGTCGCCCGTATGCCTTCCGGCCTCCATGAAAGACACTTGCTGGGCGGTAACAAATGTTTTGAAGACAACCTGCTCGTAACGCTTCGTGTCTTGAGCAAACTGGTCGGCAGTCGTCTCTGGAGTCAGGTTGACCCTAGTCCCCGGGTCGGGGGAATCATCGATAGCCCTGATAATCGATTGTCGATAGGATTCCAGTGCGGCCTTATTCATGTTGGTCCATTCGAGGAAATCATTCGTAAATCGACACTCAACAAGTTCCTCTGGATACATACTTTAGCTCCCCAGGTATCAAGGTCGAGACCTCCTCTCACCAGCCGCAAGGGATCGATGTCATGCCGAGGGAAAACTATTTTGATAGTTCTCGCCGATGATACGGCACTGAGCGCATCGAGATTACTCGCGCCCTTCAATACGCGCCCCACTCTATCTGCGTAGTCGAGTGGCTCCATCGACAGGTCTTCCGGACCGAACAGCTGCCCGCCATCCTCTAGAAACTCTTTGATATTGGTTAACGTGATAGGTGAACGGTCATGGCTCTCTTGAGGCGTATACGTGCTGCATGATCTCCGAGAGCTGGCCTTGTTGGCGTGTGTGAGCTCTATCAGTGTACAGCCGCAATGTTCTCATTGGTATCATCCCATCTCGGTAATGGGGGATCATCTTGGCTCCTGGCACACCTGAACAGCCATGTTCAAGATTCCTTGTATGCTTCTTGAGTCTCCGCAGACCATCATCCCAAAAGCTCTGGATCAAAAAACGTGCTTCGAGGACAGGGCGGGTCACCTCTATTTGTCCATTGTCACCGCCGGCAGAGATTAGTGTGGGAAGACAACCGTCAAGTAGGATCATCATGGCGAGGAGCTCTGATTTGGTATCACTATGGTGAGGGCTGGACATGATGGATCGTCGTAGATGCTGATGAGAGACGCGAGGGAGAATTGGAGTGTGTATTTCCAGCTTTGAGGAAATTATTGTTCTCAAGAGCTCATTAGCATTTGCGTGAAGGATCGGCCGAACAACCATATCACATCTTTGTCGTCCGCCAATCTCACGGCTTAGATTTCTTGGTTCCGACCAAAAGACATGTGCGAAAAGAGACATGGATGCGATCCATGTCCGAAAAGCTCCTTTCAACCATGTGGTGATGAACGGTCTCTCTGAGAGTCTCTGATGTGCGTCCACAAACCTCATGTGATAATCGGTCTGAGAGAGTCAGTGCGACAGTACATGCCAAGCCCACTTTGCTGTCTACGTCAGCGGGCCCATAACACAAGTCATTTGAGATAGATGACTTGTGTCGCACCTTGGTAGTAGTAAAACAGACTTGATAGAAGGCATTAAACGATCCGAACGTACATGCGCTCTAGTAACATGACACACTTCTACTTCGGAATGCATTCTTCACTTTGTACTCCCAAGTCAGGCGCACCATTTTCGCACGCCGCCGCGCTACCTCCTTCGAGCTCTTTCCGTATGGTCGCAAGGCCTTTCTCGATAAGCCTCTCATACTCCAAACGTCTCCCAGCATGGAATTGCCGCTCTCTATGTGTCTGTCCACTAGTGACATCAAATGTGTCAGGATGAAACCACGAGACTTGGACCCGACATCGTACATCATACTCCTCCTCTGAAACAAGCGAAACGTCTGCCGCAATCACTACTCGAGCATGCTGGCGGAATCATATTCCCTATAGGCACCCCATACCCCTTCGTCTTCGGATTCAGCACCATCATCATCCATTTCGTCGTCCCTATTCTGCGGCCCTCGCTCCCCCCCTCGCATCATCGCGAGACCACTCAGGATGGACCCCATATAGTCCACCGTTCTTGCATAGTTTGCGGCATCCTCGATCGGTCGATCAACGTAAACACTAAACATGCTAGGCTCAAGCCAGACCGCTTTCACCAAATGTTGTCCATCCGCAGGCCTCCCATCCTCGTCTAAATTATCCGCACCTACTTGTTGTGTGTTCGAGAGCTGATTGGCTACATCGAACGCGGCATGCCGGAACAGACTATGCTCGCACTGGCTTGTGTTTCTTACAAAATCCTCACAGGTGATCTCTGGTCCCAGCTGAACGTCAGAGATGTCGGCGAAAGTCATGATTCCAATCGCTTCGCCAACCGATCTTGTATATTCATCTTGAGCAGCATCATCTGTTTGCACCCGTTCTGGAGAGTCCATGACCGCAGACAAGAACCTTGCTCGGGGAGGCGCAACCGTCCAGTTCCCTTCGGGCAACTCTGCCCCATCTTCTTCCTCTTCTGTGATAGGGACTCTCACCAGCCTTGTTGGCTGAATGATTTCTGTCGTGAAAACTATCGAGACAGTGTCAGGAGGTAGTGGGGCTTCCAGCTCTTCTAAGCTCTTGGCACGCTTGACCGCGCGTTCTAACCTCTGGGTGTAGTCTGCTACGTCCATAGGTAATCCATCCACACCAACCAGATCTTTACCGGCACTCTTTGTTTGATTTTACTATAGTAACGAGTCAAAGTGTTGGTGAGAAAGAGTTACACAATAAGGGAAGAATCAGAACAGCTCTTGATATGCCATTGGGGGTACGACACTCCCTCCTCCGACCATCGACAACGATCGCGGTAACAGTTGTAACGTTAATGCACTGGTTGGATCAAACAAAGAGCGCGGGTGCAGCTTACGAAATTGTACAGTGTTTACGAAATTGTACAGTGTTTACGAAATTGTACAGTGTTCATTAATATCTCTCTTCCAGAATCTCTTCTAATCCCCCGAATCCTCTCGTCATCAAACATGATACGAAAGAAAAGAAGACTTACACGATCATGACTGCCCTGGTCCCTTTCTGGGATCGTCAAACTCAGCTGCGCAATTCTTCAAAGATTGAAAACCCCGAAATACCACAGTAGTGCTGCTTACCCTACAAAATGGGTCTGACTGGCTCAGCAGTACAATCGAGCAAAGAGCGCGGGTGCAGTTGTAGGAACCTCGTGATACGTGCAGCGTCCATTGATATCTCTCTTTCAGAATCTCTTCCAATCCCCCTAAGACTCCCCTCGTCAAGAATGATACGAAAGAAAAGAAGACTTTTATGATCATGGCTGGCCCTGGTCCCTTTCTGGGATCTTCAAACTCAGCTGCGCAGTTCTCGAAAGGTCGAAAAGCCCGAGATACCAGAATAGTACTACTTCCCCACAAAGGGGTCCAACCATATCTAATATCTATATCCCTATCTACCGAGGTGGCACATGTGCATATATAAGCAGATACTGGATGACCACCCTTCCTCCACCTATTACAAACCAAAACTCACACTCGCGCCAGTCATTTGAAGTCAGCATCATCAACAACAATCATGTCCAGTGCACCAATCGGCAGTATCAGAACAGAGGTCACTCTAGTGCCGATTTTGATTGACGGGTGTCGTCCGTCTCTGATATCCGGCAGCGCAAGCCATCATGGCGGGTCAATCCCGGTGAAACGGGTTGAACGTCCTCTTTTCGAGAAACGCTCTCTTGTCAGAAGCTTTCAAATCAACAGTGAAGGTGAGGAGGAGGAAATGCCGTCACCACCCGATGATGTGGTGGGAAAATATAAGACGTTCCTGGAAACGGTTACCAACGGGTGCCAGGGGTTGAGTTATCATGATATAGCAGTCGCCCTGCCTCGATAGAACGATCCGGTGGAAGCCTTCCAAGAAAGTACTGAGCTGTTTGAAGCATTCCACCAAAGACTGCTCATGGAGTCTGCACACAGCACTTACCATGACGGAAGCGACTGGCCATTTACTTATGAAATTCGAACAAATCATGGAGCGCCTATGGATGCAGCAGATTACACTCAAAGGTTAGAGCGCGCGGTAAAGAGTGCCAAGGGCATAGAGGAGCTGGAAGCCCCAGTACCTCCTGACACCGTCTCGATAGTTTTCACGACAGAGATCATTCAGCCAACAAGGCTGATGAGAGTCCCTGTCAGCGACGAGGAAGACGATGGGGCAGAGTCACCTGAAGGTAACTGGAAGGTTGTGCCTCCCCAAGCAAGGTTCTTGTCTGGGATCCTGGACGGCTGTCCAGCATGGGTGCAAAGAGATGAGGCCGCCCTAGATGCTTATGACAGATTGGTTGGCGAAGCTATTGGGAGTATGACTCCCGCCGACATCTCTGACGTCCAGCTGGGATCAGAGACTACCTGCGAAGATTTCGTAAGAGACACATGCCAACAAGAGCATAGTCTGTTCCGGCATGCCGCGTTCGACGTAGCCAATCGGCTCTCGACTACCCAACAAGCCGGTACGAATGAGGCGATGCTGGGTAATACAGAAGCAGGCGACAACGAAGAGGATGGGAGGCCTGTGGATGGACAACTTCTGGTGGATGCGGTCTTGCTTGAGCCTACCATGTATAGTGTCTATTTTGATCGACCGATCGTGGATGCCGCAAACTATGCAAGAACGCAGGAATATAAGGAATCCATTGAGAGGGGTCTCGCGACGATGCGAGGGGATGAGCGCGGGCCGGAGGATCGTGACGACGGCATAGATGATGCTGGCGGTGAATCCGAAAACGAAGGGGTATGGGGGACATATAGACAACATGATGACACCAGCATGATCGAGTAGTGATTGCGGCAGACGCTGCGCTTGTTTCATAGGAGAAGTATATGTAGAAGTGCGTCATATTACTAGAGGGTATGTACGACCACAGTCAGCTTCTCTTTGGTGCGCCCCCATCATGTCAAGCCTGAACATTGCTTGATCTCAGATGAGATTTGAAACCGAGCTCCGAGAAGACACATGTACATGAAAGGAACGGCGAAATGTATTGCCACATACTCACAGGGATCTTTTCAGCGGCCTCCTGGGCATACATGGGTCACCTGGGAAGTTGCATTTTCATATTTGTGCGTGTTCGTGTTCCATTCGATTATTGTCACACGTAGTGATTCCCTGAAGTGGCATTGGCGCCGAGTTGTGTGGATGGTTGAAGGACGCGCGGTGTACATACTCGATTCATATCTCATTGTCTACACTTTCCTTATGCGATAATACCGAAAAGCTCTTTTCCCCTCCAAAATCACCTTTTCCAGTCACTTCTCTGCTGCGTCCCAGCTAGGTGGTGACCATTATCGTCGGACGTCGTCGGCGTTTTGTCAAAAGAAGAGTCTTGGTATACATTTTCGGCAAGCCGTTGTGGATTATACTGTACGAGTTTGTCTGATGTTGAAAGAAGGGTGGTCTGCAGGTCGTTTTCGTGGGTGAGAATACGTGCACGGTTTCATTCTCTGTCTTCTTTTCTCTACTTGTTTTCTTCTACAGTCTACGCCTGGCAAGCTAAGGCCAATTACACCGTCGTTGACTACGCATATCGTATCAAAAGACAGTATACCCTTCAACCCATCATCAGCCCCAGCCCCCACCCCAGAAACCCAAGAAAACAAAAAGAGACGTACCTCCGTCAACAACGACATCACTCCCCACCATAAACCCGCCCCCACCCATCTTCTCCGACAACAATACAGCGATAAACTCCCCGATCTCGGCGGGGGAGGCGAAGCGGCCGACGGGGGTACGTTTTTCCCATTCGGAGACCCAGGAGGCGGCGGTGGCGTCGGGGGGAGAGGCGATCATGTCTGTTGATACGTAGCCCTAGGTGATTAGGTCAGAGGTCAGCGTGGGGGGAGTTAAGAGGGGAGAAAAGGGTTGGGAGGGGAAGGGGGAGGGACTTACGGGGGAGACGGAATTGACGGAAATACCTAGGTGCGACCATTCGCCCGCCAGAGACTGTATCCGAGCTCGTTAGCCCTCCATCCCTTTTTCCATACCCTAGCAACGATAGCGAGAGACAGAAAGGGAGATAACAACACACCTTGGCCATCATGGTCACCGCCCCCTTACTAGCATTATAGGCCGTCTGTCTCTGCGGGTTCATAGCGACCAAAGCGGAGATGCTGGATACGAACAAGATTTGTTTTTTGAGGTTGAGGCCTTTGATGCTGGGGATGTCGAGGTCCTCTTTGCTGGGAGAAGAAGAGTCGGAGGAGGAAGAGGATACGGGGATGGGGAGGTGGAGCCATGAGCGGACCAGGGCGCGAGAGAGGTAGTAGGGGTGGTAGGTGTTGACGGCGAATATGTTTTGGATGTCGGCTGTGATCTTCGGTTAGATAGTGGCGGGGAAGGTGAGGGGAGACTTGCCGTCAGTGTTCTCATGAGCGTCTTTCCATAAAGACACGCCTAGACAGTCATCAGCTCATACACCATCAAAAAAGAAGGACGACTCACCGGCATTAGCCACTCCGATATCCACCTCCTTCCCAAACACCTTCCCCACCTCCTCCACGACCCGGTCCACCTCCTTGCTCTTTGTCACCTCGCATTTGAAAGCCTTCACTGTGACACCATACTCGTTGCTGAGCTTGTCGGCGACGGGAGAAGCGTCGGTGGATGTGTATGTGATGGCGAGGTCCGCGCCGGCTTGAGCAAGGGCAGTGGAGATGGCGAGGCCGATACCGCGTCCGCCGCCTGTGATGAGGACGAGTTTGTTGCGGAAGTCGATTGTGAGGGGCATCGTGTATGGGGAGGAAGGGAGGAGAGGGTGAATTACGGGGGATATAAGGGGATATTTGGTCCCGTGGTCAGTACTAATCGGCAGGGGAGGAGCCGTAGATCAAAGCCCGGAAACGAGGCAGATTGGCAAATTACGGACCGAGCCGGGCCGAGGAGATAGGGAAAAACCCCCATCTACTGCTGGGTAGCCCACTTTTTGTATGCTTGTGTATGAGAGCGGGAGCAAATAATTAGCACAATCCGGACTGATAAGCAGCTCGGCTCCCAAAATTCGGCCCGGCGCCGCCGTTCGAGCCGAGACAGAGCCGCATGATGTCGTTCAGGAAATCGTTCACCAGGAATTAACAGAAGGCCTATAAAATCCCTCCCCTTCTCCACCTGCCCTCCCATCAGCCATCCCACCATGACCATCGCCGTAACCTCCATCCCCGCCAGCAAATACGAAGCCCACTACGACCCCAAGAAGGTCCTTGCCCATCCAGACTTCAAGATCCTTGAAGAAGGGGCCCCGGAATTGGACAGCAGAGAGGAGAATATAGCGTGTACTTATAATCCACAGCATGAGGTGAAGATGGTGAAGAAGGGCAAGGTGGAGCCGGGGGAGGGGGAGGTGACTGTGCATGTAAAGGCGACGGGAATTTGTGGGTGAGTACAGATAGTATTCGTTGGGCAGGGGGTGGGATGGGGTACCTGCCAGCGCAGCGAGCAGTATATCCTCCGAGCCTAGCGAGTATTCGCTAGGCAGGGGGTGGAATGGAGGACCTGAGAGCGCAGCGAGCAGTATATCCTTCGAGCGTAGCGAATACTCTTTGGTGGTGGTGGTGGTGGTGGTGGAGGTTGTGGTGGCGGTGGCGGTGGGGCCAGTATACTTGCAGAGGCGAGCAACAATACTAACACATACCCAGATCCGACGTCCACTTCTGGCGACACGGCGCCATCGGCCCCACCATGATCGTCTCTGACACTTGCGGCGCCGGCCACGAGTCTGCCGGTATCATCACCAAGATCGGCCCTGGCGTCACCCAATGGTCTGTCGGCGACCGTGTTGCCATCGAAGCTGGTGTCCCCTGTGGCTTGGCTGATTGTGGACCTTGCTTGACTGGGCGGTACAACGCTTGCAAGTTCTCTTCTCTTACAGGCTACGGGATTGAAAGGCTAATAAAGTTCCAGGCCCCTCGGTGGTATTCTTCTCTACCCCGCCATACCACGGCACCCTCACCCGATTCCACAACCACCCCGCCGCATGGCTCCACTCCCTCCCCGACAACCTCTCATACGAAGAAGGCTCTCTCTGCGAGCCCCTTGCCGTTGCCCTCGCAGGACTCGAGCGCGCTGGCGTCCGTCTCGGCGACCCCATCGTCATCTGGTTCGTCTTCCTTCCGCTTCCGCTTCCTTATTTCTTATACTTACTTTTCGAGTAGCGGTGCAGGCCCCATAGGTCTCGTAACCCTCCTCTCCGCCCACGCGGCAGGCTGCACCCCTATCCTCATCACCGACCTCGTCCCCTCCCGCCTCGCTTTCGCCCAATCGCTCGTTCCTTCCGTCATCCCCGTCTTGATCGACAGGCAAGACACGCCTGAACAGGTTGCGAGCAAGATCAAGGAGAAGGCGGGTGTGGAGCTTGGGCTGGCGGTGGATTGTACCGGGTTTGAGAGTAGTATCAGGGCGGGGATCTATGTGAGTATTCCTTTTGTATTTTTAGGGTTGGGAAGAGAGCTGATGGGGATGGTAGAGTGTCAAGTTTGGTGGAAAAGTCTTCGTAATCGGCGTCGGTCCTTCCGAACAAAGCGTAAGCCCCCTCCCTCCTCTCTCCTCCCATCCCCTTGCTCCCCCACTCACGTTGTTCCACTAGTACCCATTCGGCTACTGCTCCGCCAACGAAATCGACCTTCAATTCCAATACCGCTACGCCAACCAATACCCCAAAGCTATCCGCCTCGTCTCTTCCGGTCTGATCAACCTCAAGCCGTTGGTGACGCATAGGTTTGCGTTGAAGGATGCGTGCAAGGCGTTTGAGGTGGCAGGGGATCCGAAGGCGGGGGCTGTTAAGGTGCAGGTGCATGATTAGGGGAGGGGAGCTTGGGGAGACTTTGGGGGAAGGGAGGGGAAGTGTGGAATACGTAGGGGGTGTTTGGACCGACATTTTTAGGGTTGTAGATAGAGTAGAAGCGTAGATAAATCTGTAGAATACGATTAGGTATAGGGAGATGTATGAACAACGTGTGACTATGACAAGCGGGAACTTGTGCATTCTCGCTACCACACTTTTGACACATCTTGGACCATCTGCAAGTAACATTGCGGTAATGGGGGATCATCTTGCAGCTTCCTCGCACAACAGCCATGTTCATGTATTCTTTGTAAGCTTCTCAAGTCTCCATTGGTACCGGCACCGGCATCTCTCCATTTTGACCATCATCGCGAAAGCTCCGGATCAAAGAGCGTGCTTCAACGATAGGGCAGGTCGCCTGTATTTGTTCATTGTCACCGCCGGCAGAGATTAGCGTGGGAAGACAGAAGAGAACCGTCCAGTAGGATAGTCGTGGCGAGGAGCTCTGATCTGGTATCACTATGGTGAGGGCTGGACATGATGGGTCGTAGTAGATGCTGATGAGAAACGCAGGGAGGATTGGAGTGGGGTTTTCAAGCCTTTGGGGAAATTTTTATCAAGAGCTCATCAGCATTTGTATAAGGATCGGCCAATCAAATATATTACATCTTTGTCGTTCGCCAATCTCACGGCTTGGATTTCTTGATTCCGACCAAAAGACATGTGCGGAAAGAAATATGGATGCGATCCATGTCCGTGAAGCTCCTTTCAACTATGTGGTGATGAACGGTCCTTCTGAGAGTCTCTGATATGCGTCCATGAGCATTATGGGATAATCTGTTTGAGAGAGTCACAAAATGATGCTAACGTCTCCCAGTATGGCATTGCCGCTCTTTATGTGTCTCTCCACCAATGGACATCACACGTGTCAGAATCACAACACGAGACTCGGACCAGATACCCCCCCAAATACATCCCAATACTCCTTCTCTAAAACAATCGCAACGTCTGCCGCAATCACTACTCAAGTATGCTGGTGGAATCCTATTGCCTATAGGTGCCCCATACCCCTTCGTTTTCGGAGTCAACGCCATCATAATCCATTTCGTCGTCCTCATCCTCCGACCCGCGCTCCTCCCCTCGCATCGTCGCGAGGCCCCTCTGGATGGACTCCATATAGTCCAACGTTCTTGCATATTTTGGGACATCCTCGATCGGTCGACCAACCATAGCACTATACATGGTAGGCTCAAGCCAGACCGCTTTCACCAGAAGTTGTCCATCCACAGGCCTCCCATCCTCGTCGTTGTCGTCTACTTCTGTATTACCCAGCATTGGCTCATTCGTACCCACTTGTTCGGTAGTCGAGAGCCGACTGGCTACGTCGAACGCAGCATGGCGGAACAGACTTTGCTCGTGCTGGCATGTGTCTCTTACAAAATCTTCACAGGTGGTCTCTGGTCCCAGCTGGATGTCAGAGATGCTGACGGGAATCATACTTTCAATCGCTTCTCTAAGCAATCTTGTATAAACATCTTGAGCGGCATCATCCTATTGTTCTACTCTTTCTCTATGCGATGATACCGAAAAGGAGAACAGTAGGATATGAATTGAGTATGTACACCGCGCGTCCTTCAACCATCCACACAAGGCAGCGCCATGCCACTTCAGGGAATAACTACGTGTGACACGCAAGGCCTTCCTCGGTACGCTTTTCATACTCCAAAAACGTCTCCGGTATGGAATTGCCGCTCATTATGTGTCTGTCTACTAATGAAATCAAATGTGTCAGGATCAAACCACGAGACTTGGACCCAACATCATACATCATACTCCTCTGAAACAGGCGCAGCGTTTGCCGCAATCACTACTCAAGTATGCTGTTGGAATCAAAGTTCCGCCATGATTGCTTTCGCTGCCGGATATCAAGAATGGACGACACCCGTCAAGCAAAATCGGCGCTAGAGTGACCTCTGTTCTGATACTGCCGATTGGTGCACTGGACATGATTGTTGTTAATGATGCTGACTCCAGGCGAGTGTGGGTTTAGTCGGGTGGGTGGAGGAAGGGTGGTCATCCGGTATCTGCTTATATATACACATGTGCGACCTCGGTAATAAAAATACATATCAGGTATGGTTGGACTTACTTTGTTGGGTAAGCAGCACTATTCTGGTATATCCGGGTTCTCGATCTTTCAGAAACTGCGCAGCTGAGTTCCAAGATCCCAGAAAGGGACCAGGGCCAGTCATGATCATACAAGTCTTCTTTTATTTCGTATCATGTTTGATGACGAGAGGGTGAATGGGATTAGAAGAAAATCTGAAAGAGAGATATTTTAATAGACCTGTTACGTATCACGAGTATCCTAATACTCCACCCGCGCTATTTGTTCGATTGTACTGCTGAGCCCATCGGACCCACTTTGTTGGGTAAATAGCACTATTCTGGTATTCCGGGGTTCTCGATCTTTCAAGAATTGCGCAGTTGGGCTTGAAGATCCCAGAAAGGGACCAGGGCCAGTCTTGATCATATAAGTCTTATTTTATCTCGTATTATGTCTGATGACGTGAGGTTTAGGGGGATCTGAAGAAAATCTGAAAGAGAGACATTCATGAACACTAATACTATACGTATCACGAGATTCCTTAAGCTGCACCCGCGTTCTTTGTTCGGTTCTACTGCTGAGCCAGTCAGCGCATTAACATTATAAATGATACCGGGATCGTTGTCGATGGTCGGAGGAGGGAGTATCGTGACCCAAAGGGCATATCAAGAGCCGCATTACTCTTCCCTCATTGTATAACTCTTTCTCACGAACACTTTGACTCGTTACTACGAAGGCCAGTCTACGGATGACAGACAGAACCGAAATAACTACAGTGACGTAGGCCATCATCATTCCCGCTCCCAACTCTTATGGTTGAGCCGATACCTCTCGACAGGTAACTGTTGTGATATGTCTGGGAAGAAAGCATTGCGGAGCTGGCCGCCGGACGCCCACGCTGGAGTGTTCCGTAGTAGTTTTCCATATGTCTTCTTCTTCCTTTTCTATGAAACCTATATAGCCTTACCACAGTGCCGTGATGTAAGGGTAGCGCAGCGAGGGATTAGACAATGTGTTCGGTACACTCTCGATGTCTACATCAACGTATCCTGACGTAACGTCATCCAAGCAGTTTCCTGGAGTTATACTTCCGCCCTCCATGTGGAGGGCCAGCCAGAATATCAAACATGGAATGATGAAACCAAAGACGCTTTCACCAAACGTTCATTGGAAGACTAAGCATGGACTGCCTCTTGGGAGTTTGAATCTGCCAGAGGAGGATTCGAAGGCGGGAGCTGTGACCCCCATTGTACGCGTTAGCAGGGTAGCTTGGGAGATGTATTGGGTCGTAGAGCGTACTATCGGGTGACACTACACTGCGCTTTAGGCTCGTGTAATCTGGATATCGGATGGCCTAGGTTGTTTCGCTATACATGCTTGATCATACTTTCTCCTAAACTGCCCCAGTGTAGAATGACAATGCTGAATGTACATGCTGACGACAACTATTCACTGTCAGATATGACTACTGCCCTCCTACCGCCACCTTTGCTCTTGGTTGACGCTGCCCCAGACCTAGGCCCAGCCCCAGCCCCTAAGACCTTCCATGCTCCATCATCCTTCCACCCCTCTCCCATCATCTCATCCCAATTATCTTCTCCGTCTTGATCTTCCTGCTGCGCCACCAGATCTTGAAGGTACGCCTCATACTCGTCCGGATTCTCGCCTTCTTCATCATCGTCCGCGGGCTCGGGCTCGGACACGCGTTTCGATGATTTGGCGGCTTTGGTCTTGGAGGTTGACGCACGAGGAGCGGTTTTCTTCTTTGGCGGCGGCGCTTCTCCTTCATCTTCATCACCATCCTCCTCTTCAACGTCCGCCCCATCACCCTTCTTCTTTCGTTTCCCTGGAGTCCCCGCGCTAGCCTTCTTCCGGACGGCCTTCTTCTTCTCCTTCGGCGCCGCCGTTGGGAAGGTACATTCGATTTTGACGGGCGAGTTGCCAGATTCAACAGCGTCGTGGGACAGGCGGGAAAGGCGGATGGCGGTGGAAGAGGCGTTGACATAGACGTTGACGGAGACTGGAGTCAGCGTCAGCACTTGCACAAGTCTGCGCGAGGGAGAGAGAGAAAATCGAAGAAACAAAGACGTACAGGAAGTGGCATGGAACAATTCTTCGAGATACCCGAGCAACATCAAATGCGTCAACAGAATCTCGATATCCTGCAATCCCGTCAGTCCAACTGTCCTCTCAATAGAGGAAGACTTGACTTACATCGGCATTCAAATCGACCTTGCCTCCGTAATCCTTCACATCCACCTCCCCCTTCTCTCCCGTATTCTTTTCCTTCCCCCGCCCTCTCCCCCTCTCCGAACCAGCCACAAGCGGGAAAGCACCCCCGCCTAATCCTCGCGCGAGCGACCCGAGATTTTGAAGTGTGACTCGGCCGTGTTGGCGCTGAACTTCAACCATGATCGAGAGAATCTTCCATGATTCCAATGTGACGTCTTTGGTATAGACACAGTGGGGTGGCCGGAGACAGTTGTCGCAGATACCGCACGAGGTTGTGGCACCGTTGCCACCTGAGGGGCCGGAGGATGGGGGAGAGAGGGTATCGGCGGTGTCCCAAGCGGAGACGGAGAGATGGGATGAGGCGGAGAAGTACTTCGCGAAAGCGATTTTGCGGCAGGTCTTGAGATCCTGAGCGAATTTGACCATCTCGTGTACTGATGATCATCAGCAATCGGCGAAACAATTCACTGAGAAAGACCCACATTTCGATAACCCATCCACATCCTTAGCCACCATCCCCGCCAACCTCGTCCAATCCTGTCCCCTATAGAACAATGCGCAATCTGAATCTTTCCCATCTCTCCCTGCTCTCCCTGTCTCCTGATAGAACCCTTCAAGCGACTTTGAGAGTGAGTGGTGAACGACATAGCGGACGTCGCCTTTGTCAATACCGAGACCAAAGGCGATGGTAGCGCAGATGCAGTTGATTTTTCCGCGCCGCCAGTCGAGGTGGATACGTTCTTTTTGGTGGTTGTCGATGCCTGCGTGATAGACGCCAGTCTGCGAACAAGTCAACATTATTGCGCGCACGCGAACGGGGAAGGAAGGAGCATACTTTGATATTGCCATTCGACCATTGCTTCAAATCATCACTAACATTCTCCGCATCCTTCTTACTCAAACAGTACACAATACCGCTCTCCCCTGGATGATGCTCTTGTATCCACGCGCCGATAGTTGCGATTCCTTCCTTAGCATTGCTTGGTTTGGGTATCACTTTGTAGTGCAGGTTTGGCCGGAAGAGGGGAGCCGAGAAGAAGATGGTGCCGGAAGATTTAGCGGAACGGCCGTCTGTAATAGGTGGGAGCTGGAGGATCTTGAGTAGATCGGGGAGAGTTTTGGAGGAAAGAGTGGCGGTCTTGGGAGATGAGCGAGATGATGAAAACTACTCCAGGGAAGACGTACAACTGCTTGGATAGGGACGCGAGGGAAGAGAGTTTTCAGCATGGAAAGCTGTTTATAGTCGGGCCGAAAGTCTGCCATAAGATGAGTACGTGTACGTGTGACAAATAATATAAGACCCACCATGTCCTAGTTGACTGCAACAATGCGCCTCGTCTATCAGCTGTTAGCCACATGTTCGTATTCGATTGCCGAGTAGCAAAACATACCTATGACGAACCGCTCTATGCCATATCAGCTTTGCTATTCATGCAAAGATGAACGCTCACTCACTTAATCGACCAGATTGGTTCATTTTATCCAGGATGGCAACGAAACGCTTCGACTTGGCGATCTTCTCGGGCTACGCTCTGTATAAGAACGTCTTCCAATCGAGGTATACAAAGAAACTTACAGTCACATAGACTAGCTGTTTGGAGTATCAGCGCCTGAGGAGAAAAAGCATATGACCTTGACTTACCCTGATCTCCTTCTCACCCTTCTGCGGACCATCCTTCATCCTCGCGTAGATGGCATTTTGCTCTTCCGTGCTCGTGCCACCAGTCAACATCTGCGATCACATGAGCTCCTGTATCAGAATGGAAACAAACATCAGACGTACCGCACATTCGATCCCTATCTCCTTCAAGCCTCGTACTTGATCCCATATCAGAGCGAGCAGAGGACTGACTACCACCGTCAATCCGCGTCCCATCACCGCCGGCAGCTGATATGTCAGACTCTTGCCTCCTCCTGTCGGCATGACACAGACGATATCTCGGTCATCTACAGCAGCGTTGATGACGCCTTGTTGACACAGCCGAAAGGAAGATAGGCTGAAAACGTTTTTGAGAGTTTGCTGAATCGCGTTGGTGAACGGGAAAGAGGAAGACTGGTAGTCTATTGAACCAGTCGAACAGACAACAGCGTTAGAGGGAGCGGTTCTGGAGCTGCCGGAGAGCTGCTGCTCTAGAGCTCTTCTCTCGGCCGTCAAGGAAGTGTGAAGGGCTTGTAGAGGTTTGAGTTGATCGATCACTTCTTCAATCTACCGCAAAGTGAGCTTGGACTCTGTCACTATGTCGCCACAGCACCTACCTCTGCATCAAGTTTAGCAAGCGCTGTCTTGAGGGCATCTCTGGCATCCAGATTGAGGGCTCCAGATGATTCTACTCTTGTCTCTCCCTTCACCGCTTTGCTGGGCGCTGCCTTCTGCTTGCCCTTCGCGACCAGGGGCCGAGTGTCGTTGTCGCTGTCGTCGCTCACAACTATGGGTGCCGACGAGCTGGAGGGCATGTCGGAAATCTTTGATGTAGGGGGATAATGTTGATTATAAGGACATTCTCATTTGGCAGTGCTGTTTTGTGACTGTGCATAAGAATCCAAACAATTACAGGCGCGTCGCGTCGCGTACTTCATCATCATGTATGATGTTACGTAAATCTGCCTCCACCTTTCAGCTTCGTCGCCATGTCTTCTGCAGCACCGAAATTTGAATAGCCATATTCTCTTGCAGAGACAAATTCACCACCGCATCAAGACAGCTCAGGCAGTACGGTATTAACCCAACACACGGCTTTCTCTCCCAAAAATATGCCGAAACCCATCCCCCAGCCCGTCGCCCCTTTCGTTAATCCGGATGTCGAAGAAGAACGTAACGTCCACGAAGTATACGAAGCCATCGCCCCTCACTTTTCCCAAACTCGTTTCAAAGTACGTCTCAATCCCTCTTCTATCACTGTCTGACTTTGACTGACATCTCAGAAAGCCCTGGCCGCTGATTTCCGCCTTCCTCTCATCCCTTCCAAAGAACGCGCTCGGCTTGGATACTGGTGGAGGCAATGGGAAATACTTGCCGGTAGCGCATAGTAACGGGCTGGAGATGATTGAAACGGATAGGAGCTCGGGATTGCTCAAGTGCGCTAGGGGCATGGGATGGGGGTCATCTCCGGACTCCACTCCTGTCAACGGGACCGACAGTCAAAAACAGGATACTGGCTCAGATGGAGAAGACAAAGAGGGTGGCCAGAAGAAGGAGAATTTGGCGGAATGTGTAAGAGGAGATCTGTGTGGCGATATTTGGAGGCAGGGGACGTTCGACTTTGCCATATCTATCGCTGCGATCCACCATCTCTCGACCAACGAGCGCCGGCGGCATGCTGTCAAGGTGCGTCTTCCGTCTTCTCTTCCACCGAATTCTCATGGACTGACGTCTCATAGACTATCATGAAACCACTCAAACTCAACAAGAAGGGGCCATACTCTCGTTTCATGATCTACGTCTGGGCATACGAACAAGGCGAGGCCTCCAAGCGCAAGATGGGATCCGCCGCCGGCTCTTCATTACCCCTCGACTCTGCTTCAAATTCCGAACCTACAGAGGCGGTAGAAGGGGCGAAGGAGAGGGTGCAGGATGTTCTTGTTCCCTGGGTATTGGCGCCAAAGAAAGGAGAGACGAGTAAGAAGGTGAAAAAGCCGAGAGTCAGGGCTGGGCGAGAGGGGAAGCAGGGCAACAAGGGCGCCTTAGCTGGGCAAGAAGTTGCTACTTCTCAGCCCCCCTCAGAGTCAACTACTTCCCCTTCAGAAACCACCGACAAACCATCTCAAACCTCTACCATACCCGAAACCCCAACCTCCCCCACCCCCGCCCCAGAACCCCAAGTCTTCCACCGCTACTACCACCTCTTCGTCCAAGGCGAGCTTCAAACCCTCGTAGAGTCTGCCGCCAGAGAAGAAGGTTACGAGATTGTGCCCTCGGTACCGTATTTGACGACGGAAGGGATGGAAGCTGCGCAAGTTGGGTTGGAGGGGCTTGCTATCGATGGAGATGCGGGAGAGAAAGAGGAGAGGAAGGAGGGGAAGAAGTGGATGAAGGTGAGAGGGGTGGGATGGGAGATGGATAATTGGTGGTTGGAGGGAGAAGTTGGGGTATGGTGAGCGAGGACTCCGAGACTCGGTGAGCTGTATCGCTCGTTGCAGCGGTCATTGGTGCTGGTGCTTGTTTCGATGAGGACCAAGGTCGTCAGAGGGCGCGCGAGCTCCTAGTCACGAATGGGTACGTAGCCTTGACTCGTCTCCGATCTCAGCACTGATGATCCGCTAGCCCTGCTTTCAATGCCTATGCATATCACTACAGCCAAACCATCTTTGTCCGTCAACTCTCTCATACGTTATATGCAGCTCCCGGATGAGCGCGATACATGAACCTCCCCTGATACGCCGGTCCTCCTATCAACGCTCTACATCATCATCAGCTTCATCACCGCCTTTTTCTTCCCCTCTGAAATAGAGACTTACGCAAGCCCGCCGAATATACATCCCACCAACCCAATCCACAACCCCGCCCCATACCCCGCCTCCCACCCCACCCAACCATCGCCATCGAAATCATGTTTCGCGCGCACCCATAGTACCAGCGCGAATATCTCGGCGAGGATGGCGGAGAAGGCGGCGAGAACGCAGGAGGTGCGGAAGTAGACGGGGTTCCAGGCGAACTTTTTGAAGCGGAGGAGGGAGAGGATGAGGGTTATCCAAGCTATGAAGAAGAGCAGGCCGGCTAGGGATAGATTAGATGGAGATTATGGGGGCGGAGTGGAAAGGAGGATGGGGAAGGCGTACCGATGCCGAAGAGGATACTTGTCTTGAGTAGCCACTCGGGCATGTCGACGTTCTGCGGTCCGGGAGGCTCGTATCCCACTTTAGAGCTGGAACAGCTATCGCTCTCTTCTTCACAGTACCCGAAAGCGCCGTAATGTGTCGCATCACCGTTTGTGTTTGTCATGGATAGAAAGTAGATGGTTTTGATGAATGGGGTGGAGAATGTTACTATGATCCTAAGCGATTGTCAGAGGTGTACGGCGAGGGTGTACTCGTATAGCGAGACGAGAGGCGATGCAGCTTACATGCAGACGAAGGCGAATGTGCTAAAGATCAAGCCAATGAGGATATGCCCTTCTAGGCAGTCTTCCCATCGAAACATTGTGATCGTCGAGGATCCTGTTGTCGTCCAGAGGGTATCTGGCGCAGGTGCTGTATGGGGCGTCGAATGGATGGGCGGCGGTGTATGTGATCAATACCGGATAAGATTGGAGTTGCAGAGTGTGCCAAGATCATGGCGAGAACAATGGGCAAATTGAGGGAAGAGGAACAATGACATTTTGGCGGTGATGGGACCTGGCCTGTTTCGAAAGTTGAGTGACTCGGTACCTGCCTTTGAAGGCACCAACGCTCAACCCGAGCTTGTTCTCCTCGGATCCAGCATACAGAACAAGATACGCCATTTCCGAAACCCATCTCGTTTTAGAAAGGGGCCCTCAAATAGCACTGCAGACTTCTTTTCAAATGCCGAAAGGAGTTGTCCATCAGATCGGCTTCTCGTGAGAGGGCGACCGAGCAACATCCGTCCGCAAGATTCCAAGGCTTCTCAAAGGGCTCGCGCATCGAATTGCGCATCACCACCAGAGGTCGAAAGGAGTCCTGTAAGTATAGAAACAACGTCCCAGGTCTTTCGAAGTTCGATCTCAACTGAGAGATTACCTTAGAATGTAGAGGGCGGACTACCAAATAATATAGATGCACTTGTATGTCATGGTTCTTTATTCAGATCGTATCAAGCTGATGGTAAAATTAGCTACATCTTACCCAAGATATCTGCCTGTGCAACAACGATATAAGATCCTGCCTCGGGCTAGCCACTGTGTCTGTATTGCCACTAACGCAACATGTCCAGCAACCCTGAGACCGGCGATGTCAAATCAGAAATCATCATCACAACAATTTTGCTCGAAGGCTCGTATCCAACTCTAGTCTCCATCGACGGCGCTAGCGGTCACGACCTACAAAGACAAATAGAGCCCCCTCTCATCGGAAGACGCCTCACTCTCCGGAGCTTGAGCACCAACGAAAACGGCGAAGAAGTGCTGGCATCACCGGCAGATGAGACTGTGGCAGCAATGGGTCAATTCATGGGTAGAGTCTTTCATGTCTGCGACGGACGACGATATGAAAGCCCTCTACCCGAAGTACCGCACTGGAGAGACAGGTTGAGAACGTTCCGCAACTACACTCACGAAACTTTTGCCCGCCATCAGAACCACCTTTCAGAGGCCATGCAAAACGAGTATGCTTCAAGAGACTCATGGCCATTCACTTATCGAGTGCACTCGGATGTGGAGGATTATCTGAAAGATGGCGGTCAGCTGACTGGTCCGGGGGACATGCCGAGGCCGGCAAGAGAGTATGCAGAAAGGTTGCGACGTGCGGTGAAAAGCGCAAAGAGCTTCGATGAGCTTTGTGCTGTACCGCCAGACACTGTCAAAATAGCTTTCACAACCGAGATTCTTGAGCCCTTCAAGCTGATGAGAGCCTCTCCCTCACGTTCCGGCGAGGAGGATGACGGAAGGTCACTGGATGATTGGACGGTATTGGTTGCCAAGCCACGTGTTGAGTGTCGAGTTACCGACGATTCTCCCGAATGGGTCAAAAGTGGTAAATTTGCCCAAGATACTTATATCAATTCCATCATTGAATCAATTGATAAATCATCCCCCCCAGAGCCTACAGCCGCGCTCAGTCGAGACAGGACGGTCGACGACTTTGTGCAAGGCACGCAGCGTTTTGAGGATAATGTGTTTGAGGAAGTAGCATACGATGTGGCTCATCAGCTGTCATTCACAAGCGACCAAGAACGTACAGACGAAGTGGTGTTGAGTGGAGGGGAGACGGGCGACGCAAGCTTGGAAGAGGGTCAGCTCGTGGATGGACATCTGGTAAAGGTTGCATGGCTTGAACCTTCTATGTTTGAGAGTTTCTACGGCCTTCCCCCTAGAGAGCGGCGATTCTACTCCAAGAGGCTCGTAGAATATGAGACTTCTATCAAAGAAGGCTTCGCAGAAATGCAGAGCGAGCGCGATCATCAAGTACCCGGGACAGGTGATGCAGTCTCATTTGGAAAGACGTCATGGGGCACCTGGCCTCAGAGACAAGAAGACCTCTCGGAAGCGGTGGGAGCTCTTGATTTTGCCTTTGTTCGTGATGAGCTATCGCAATGATTATACTGCGAACACTGGTTATTAATGAAGTCCATTGATCCTACTCAAGCAAGCGCGACCACTCCCTTGGCCAGAAATTCCCCTCCTGACACTCCATCAGTAAATGGAGATGGTGTCGTCAGAAGCTAAGCTCAAAGCAGTGTGAAAGAGAATGATCAGGTCAGCGATAGACCGGCGCGAAGATGGACACGGAAGGAAGAGGAGAGATCGTCGTAAATGACGAAGTCGACGTCGTTCAAACCCATCGCCAAAGAGATTACCCGGGCCAGGGAAGACTGAAGCCGGGGTATGAGAGTAGAGATCGAGCTGTTGAGAGATGGAGCCTGAGTTGACGATTGAGTGTTGAAGGAATAACCCCCGAGGCATACGTAGGACATGGAACATTGATAGGGCCCGGAGGGGGAGGGGGAGGCGGGATGGGAGGCCGAGGGAATGAGCTACGTCTATCAGCAACACCATCGACGTTTGCTCCCCTCTACATCGCCATATCCAGCCATCCTCATCACTCTCACCCCCACTCGAACCACTCGAACGACCCCTTCACCTGTGCCGCATCCGCCAATCTCCAACAACAATGAACCATGACCCGAACCGACCGAGAACAAAAGGGGGCAGAAGTACAAGAGCATGCATATAATACACATCCCTCCACTTCCTCGTCATCAAAAGCGTCTTCTCCGGGGTGGTGCTTGGGAGCGATGAGATTAGTCGAAGAGACCGAAACCCTATATCCAGTCAGCATACGATCGTAGTAGGAAGGGTTGGGGGGAAGGGGAAGGGGAAGGGGATAAGACTCACCATGTCGTCGTCCTCAGACTCCTCGTCCTTGGCCTCCTCCTTGGCGGCGGGGGCGTCACCACCGGCGGCGGCACCCTCAGCGGCAGCGGGGGCAGCGGCGACGGCGAAGGCCTCGGGGTTGGCGAGGTACTCCTTGATCTAGACAAAAGTTAGCACCGACAAAAGTAGGAAGAGGGGGAGGCGCACCTTCTGGGAACCCTCGAACTCGTAGTCGGTAGCCAAAGAAACGTTGAGGACGTTCTTGTAAGAGTTGACAAGAGAGTGGACAACGGAAGCGATGGTGGGGATACCAGTAGCCAAAGAGATGGCAGCGACAGTCTTGATACCGCCGATGAACTGGTCGATGAGGGTCTTCTCCTCAATGTCGAGGATCTCGGAGGGGAAGACGGCACCGTTGTCGTAGACCTGGACGACGGTCATACCGTAGGTGAAGGGAGAGATGTTGAGCATGTTCAACAAAGTAGCCTCGGAAGGACCGACACGGCCACCGGCGGCAACGACCTGGACGTCAGAGACAATCTCAATGGTACCACGGGCGATCTTGGTGGGGATACCAAGGGCCTGGAAGAAAGAGGTCTTTCCGGGCTCCATACCAGTGTTACCGGCGGGGACGTAGACGTCGTTGGGGGCGTAGGCACCGGCACGGGCAGGGGCAGCGACGACGTTGGAGATGATGGTCTCTCGGATCTCCTTGAGGTCACCAGAGGTGAAGACGAAACCGATGTTTCCCTTGACGAAAGGCATGAGCTTCTCGAACTGGGGGAACTCGGGGAGGATGGTTCGGAGGGCTCGTCGGACCATGGTGTTCTTTCCCATGAGGACGACACCCCTGCCTCGGAGGGCCTGTCGGATCATGTGGCACTGCTGAGAAGACACATTGTCGATGTTGACGATGAAGATGGAGGCTGAATAGCTGTTAGTACGGGCCAAGTAGCGAGTGGGGGTACGTACGGTACTTCTCGATGAGAGTCCTGAGCTTCTCGAAGTAGAGTTCCTTGTTAGCACGAGTGGCACCCATTGTGTATAGTCTCCCAAGTGTCGGTATTCGGCAGAAGGCGGTTTAAAGACTGGTATGGGGAAGCGTAGCGCAAAAACTGAAAATGATAGAGGAGAGCGGGATTCGCCGGTGTTTGGAGTTTCGCGGCGAGTGTGGCGGGCGGTGTGTGCCGCCGCGCTCATTCCCTCTTACATTTCCCGGCGGTGGTTTGCGTTGCCATATGCGATGGGCTGGATGGGCCCCCATGCTCACAACACGCCTCCTCAAAATCGCCATCCCAAAAGCAGAGTCATCAAAACAGGCTCAGCAGCGCGTCGCCCACATGGCACGATGCATATCGAGTATCAAGGGTAAAGAGAGGGAGACTTGCCGTATGTCCACATTCTACTGCGGGGATATCCCTGATGAAAATATAGCCCCCCCGTCATCATTCCCGCCTATCATATCCCGCCTCCTCTCAGCCCGCCTCTATCGCTTGGCCACATTCCATGTCGTCCAAACACCCTCTCTCGCAAAAGATCTCGCCTTGCTCGAATCTCTCTCGACACATCTTGAATATAATGGTGCAGGGAGGCTGGCAGAAGGTCTGAGAGGGATCAGCTGGAAAGGAGGGAAAGCGAGGCTGGGTGTGACACGGAGGAAAGGAGAAGAGGTGGGACGGATTGTGGAAAGAGCCAATCAACTGGGCGAGAATCGTCATCAACCCCCGAGCAGTTTCTGGCTGGGGTTTGAGAACGAGGCTGGGCTGGATGGCGCTGCTTCTTCGGGAGAGCAACATGCGTTATCGCGGCGTGTTTCCAAACGACGATCCATACCTCCATCCCTCTCATCACTACCGTCCGAGATATCGAAATACCTTCCTCCCTCCTTCCCCTACTTCTCCTCCTGCGCCAACGAACCGGAAGATCACCTTCTACGCCTATCACATACGCTTCTCGCTATAATCAGTCATCAAGCAGACTTTCCTTCGCAAGGGTTGGACCAGCGGACGAAGGAGGTTGTCGTTGGGTTATGGATCGCGTATGCGAGAGGGTATTTAAGAGGTCGGCGGCGGAATGGAGAGTATACTTTAGAGATAGAGGATGGGAAAGAACCGGGAGAGGGGGCTAGCGGAGAAGTCTGGGGGGAACAGAAGGGGGAAGGATGTGATGGAAGAGAAGAGAGCAGAGCAGAGGGTTGGGATCTACCCCCAACGGCGGAGACGGTCATGCTCTTTTTTCGACACATTTCCCTACTACTCGCTCCTACAACAAATTCTTCCTCCCATTTTTCCTCATCGAACCTACTTCCCTCTCTCCCTATCACTCAGTCCATTCAGTCTACATCGCCAAATACCCCTTCCTTACCAGCATCGACGTTGTTGGAGCCAGGGCAATTTACCGAAAAGATGGAGCTTCAGGAAGAAGAAGGACTAGAAGTAGATGAGGAGGAAAGGAGGCAACAGAAAGAGTACGAATGGGATCATCTGTGTCGGCCGCTATGTCGATATACCCTCCGCCTCCTTCGGCTGGCGAGGTCGTACCACTCGCGATATCCTCCTGGTCATCAGTCTTCCTCTGAAGCTGGATCTACAGCCCCACGCCTCCCACAAGAGATCTACCTCCGCCGAAAAGCAGCTTGGGAGCGTCAACTCGCACATCAGGTGGGGGAGTATGGGAAAGAGGTGAGAGGGTGGATGGGGGCACGGAAAGGGGTGCTTTTGGGGGGGAGTTTTGGCGTTTGATGTTGATGTGCTGTCTTCTGACTATGGCACTAAGGCTGCAAGGATCTGAGGAAGTTGGTGTGGCGTTACATGGTATAGGGAGAGGTGAGGAGCAACGTGCGGACAGGGAAAGAAATAGGGAGGGGCGTTTTTGGCAGTATCTTTGCATATCTTTGCATAGTTTCCGGCTTGAGCATAACATGATGAATTTTGCATAGCATAGTACAATCACAATACAGAAGAACGAGGCCACAGATCGGATACCAACGATCGGGGATGTTCACATGTAGTTTGTCGCTGAATCTCATTCTCAAATGAGTGAGTCAAATGAGTGAGGGAGTGATCCACATGATTTGTGAGCTTGACAGCTGATGACGCGAGGGAACATTCTGCACACACCGACATCTTTTCTTGCACGACAACAACGGTGATGTGCACATCTGGGGGTCTGCGTTATGTGACGAACGTCGATGGATGGACAGATCTCGAAAGCAAAATATTTAAACAGTCATGACTCATGAGTAACAAGTAAGTGGTATTTGTTGAGCATACAAATGGTATACGTACGTACCCAGCTTTGCGGATGATAGCGAGTCAGATCGGCCCAACTAGAGTACGTAAATGTCGAGGCAACCGGAGGAAGAGGTTGAGTTCTTCAGGGCTGTACGTTACACGCTTGGTCTGCGGATATGCCATGCTATACCCTTGGGCATATATCGATAGTTGCCATAGACAAGCATAACGTTAACGTGGGGGAGCGTTCAAGCGCAAGGCAAGACGAAAAAAAGAAGACCGGTCAATGGCCGAGAAACCCTCGCTCACTTCGCTCTATTCCAGCACCTTGTAGGGAAGCAGACGTCAGATACATGGGTACCAGATGCACCCGTCCCTCTCAACTTTCCTTGGTTCCCCTGCCCCGATCTTGCAGGAGAAAGACGAGATTGGGTTTATGGCTGACGACAACAAAGGGTCGCTCCCGGTTATTGGACGCGTGGTTACCCGGAGGTCGCCGCAAAAACACAGGCTTGGATTGCTTGGACATTTCGATCTCTTCTTCCATCTCCATCTCATTCTTCTTCTTCTACTTTTGCAACATGGCGTTCCCGAGGCCCAAGCCCACGACAGTGAGTCCTATCACATTCCCCGGCGCCGCAAGCTGACCTTCTGCTAGATGGAGACGCTTGCTATGGTATGTCTGCATTTGCCATCACCTGAGCGACGCTGACCATAGCCACGCAGGAGCGCGCAGACCCGCCATTCAACGTACGCAAGCTTGCTATCAAGATGCACGGCTCTGAGAGAGCCCTCCTGCTGAAAGAAAAGTTCATGGCCGAAGTGAGTGATGTGCCCCACTTTGCCCATATGGCCCATCAACTGATCGCCGTGCAGATCGCCCGTCACCCCGCTTTCAAATTGTCGGATATACATGATCTCAGCAAGGAAGAGCTAAGGGAAAGGACTATGGAAAAGTTCTCGTCGATGGTGTACTTTGTGACGACCGAGAGTCTGGAGGTGTTTGGGCTCAGGATGCAGGTGAGCACTTGCTCTCTTTCCAGACATCGGGGCTGACACTCTCGTCAGCTAATCAGCATGGCTGATCCTTCATTCTGGACACGCTTTGGAGTCGCCTATGGTCTTTTTTTGGGAGCACTGCGCGGCGGAGCAACCCCCAATCAATTCAGTACGCCTTTCCCTTTCTCCGTTCCCGTGTTCCTGGGGTACTAACCTCGCCACCCGTACCCAGGCTATTGGATCGATAAAGGCGTTCTCGGGCTTAACGGAGTCATTGGATGTTTCGCCATGACCGAGCTTGCTCACGGCTCCAATGTCGCCGGGCTCGAGACGACTGCGACGTTTGATAGGGAGACTGATGAGTTTATCATCCATACGCCGCATCTTGGAGCGACAAAGTGGTGGATTGGGGGAGCGGCGAGTACGGCGACGCATGCGGCGGTGTTTGCGCAGATGATTATTGATGGGAAGAAGCATGGGGTGAAGACGTTTGTGACGCAGTTGAGGGATACCAAGTGAGTATGAGCGCAAGTCTTGGTGCTGTGCTCATGACTATTGTAGGACGTTCCAGCTCTTGCCTGGTATCACTATTGGAGATATCGGAAAGAAGATGGGTCGGGATGGTATTGGTGAGTCTATCATCAGGCGTTTACGACTGGGTGCTGACGTGGTGCTAGACAATGGCTATATCCAATTCACCTACGTCCGCGTCCCTCGAGCTCATATGCTCATGAAGCACACCCAAGTATCTCGCGAGGGCGCCGTCACCGAGCCTGTGAGTTTTGCGCGATCACGGGTTGGGTGTCGCTGACGCTGGTATAGCTCCTCGCCCAGCTTACTTATGGCGCTTTGCTCGCTGGAAGAACGACCATGGTGACCGACTCTAGTACGACTGCCAAGAAAGTGAGTCTTTCGACATTTTGTTGTGACGCTTGGCTGATGATATCTAGGCTTTGACCATCGCCATCCGATACGCCGCTGTTCGACGCCAGTTCTCGACGGGTAAAAACGAAGTCGAGACCCAGTTGTTGGATTATCCCATCCACCAGCGTCGTTTGATCGTGAGTATTATAACGTTGATGTTGGAAGAGTTGCTGATCATCAACAGCCTCTTGTCGCTCAAGCCGTTGCTATCGGATTCACTGGACTCCGACTCACAAAGATGTACGAGGACATGACCCAGGCTCTCGATACCATGGACCCTTCCGACGTAAGTACCTTGTCGCAAAATAGAACATCGCTCATACGAATCACAGCCCAACCTCGGAGCCACCCTCGACAAGCTCAAAGAGACTCACTCCACTTCTGCCGGTCTCAAGGCGTTCTGCACATGGGCGTGTCTAGACACTATCGACAAGTGTAGACAGTCTTGTGGAGGGCATGGGTACTCTGCGTACTCCAACTTTCCGGGAATGTACGCGGACTTTGCTGTGCAATGGTGAGTGTGCCCCCTTGTCCGGAGTGTAAATGCTGATGGTGAGGCAGTACTTGGGAGGGCGACAATACGATTTTGAGTCTGCAGGCTGGACGTTCGCTCGTCTCCGCTTGGGGCGGTAAGTCCTTTGTCAACTCTTCGCGCGCTGTTGCTGATATGCGTAGATGCGATGAAGGGCAAGAAACTCGTCTCGGGCGTCGCCTTCCTCAACGACCGCTCCATCCTCACCGCCAAATCCGACTCTTCTCTCTCCCTCACCGACATCCAACGCGCCTGGCACTGCGTCGCCGCCAACATCATCAAAAAGGCCGCCGAAGAGTACCTCTCCCTTATGAAGGATGGCAAGACCAAGGAGGAGGCTATGGAGGCGTGTTCGCAGTCGAGGTTTGTGGCGGCCAAGGTGCATGTGATTGGGTATATCTTTGGGATGTTTAGGGAGGCGGTGGAGGAGTCGGGTAAGGGGCCGGAGACGGAGGTTTTGGAGAGGGTTTGTAAGCTGTATGGGCTTTGGCAGATCGAAGAGCAGCAGGGGTACTTTTTGAAGTGTACGTCATCTCCGATCTTGTGGAATGAGCGCTGATGATTATCAAGACGGCTACTACACCCCCGAGCAGATCGACAAGGTTCAAAGCGCCGTCTCTGCCCTCTGCGCCGACGTCCGTACCGTAGCCGTCCCCCTCGTCGACTCTTTCGCCCTCTCCGACCATATCATCAACTCTCCCCTCGGCAAATACGACGGCTCCGTCTACGAGTCCTACTTTGCCCAAGTCCAAGCGGCCAACCCGACTCCAAAGGTCCACCCGTACTTTGAGAGGCTGATCAGGCCGTTGTTGGAGAGGCAGAATGAGGAGATGCAGGATCCGGGGAGTGAGATGGGGTTGGACGAGGAGCTTGGGGAGTTTGCGGCGGAGAGGAAGGAGGCTGCGAAAGGCAAGCTTGGGAAGGTTAGGCGGGAGGAGGAGTGAAGGGTTTTCTGGTCATCGTTTTGGTGGTCTATCTGTATAAAGGGCAGGAAAGATTACGAATCTCGAGAATATACATGCTTCCGTTGTATTAGTAGTCTAGTTTTCCTGTTTGTAGAATCAAGTACAATATAGATCGGATAGATCTGTTGCTAGTGCTTTTATGTATCGCATACACGGTCGACCGGATGGGTAGGCTAGGGGCATGGGGTAATGCGCGGGCGCGCGGGGGCAGTAGAGTAGCCTTTGCCGTTGCTGCTGCGTTATATACACTACGCTTATCTTTTTCTGATTCAGGAAACTCGCCGTGGTTTGGGAGGGTGACCTCGAAAGCCTCGCGAGAAGAAACCTGGTGTTGAGAGAAACCTTGACGGATCAAATGAGACGTAAGCTGAGGAGATCGAGTTGCAAGGAGCAACAGACAGCCATTGATTTCATACTTTATCCAATCCAAACCAAACACATATATACAAATACACCCCCTCCCCCTCTTCGCTCTTGCGCTCTTCGCTCTTAAGCCTCAATCTCGACATCCCTCTTCTTCAACACAAGTTCCTCCCCCTTGACACGCCTCCAAACATCATAAACGTCCTCGACGACCGTCTCGAAATGCGAGGTGGCGTCGTAGGATTTGGTGATGAAGATGTTGTCGTCTGTGCCTGGGGCGGTGGGGGCGTAGAGGGGGGTTATGGAGATGAACCTGTGCCCTGGGTCAGCTTGGTTTCCTTTAAGAAGAAGGAGGGGAATAAAAGACGCACTTGTCGAGTACATTCCCGAGCAACTGCAGCCCAGGCAGGATCTCGCGCTCGGGCACGCTAGTCTCGACGATGGTGGAGACGATGGCAATGTAGACGTCTTTGGGGGCGACGTTGTGGGCGCCAGACATTGAGGCTATGTAGATGTCTATGAGAGAGTTTAGTTTAGATTTCGAGGCATAGGAGAAGGAGGAGCAGGGACGTACCGTTCTTACGCCCGACTTGCTTCTGGGGGATGATAATCTGGCACGAGTCGGAAGCGTCCGTCCCCGGGATCGGGTGTTTGAGAATGCAGATAGCCCTAACAACCTTGCCGGTTTCGACAACCCTCATCCTCCCCCCCTCCCCATCTTCCTTCCCCGCCCCGAAATACGACGGATCGCCAATGACCTTCTTCGCCCTAACCGTCTCCCCCTCGCTCGTGACGCCTTCAAACTTGCCGTCCGCGGCGAGCTTGATGTCCGAGATGGGTTTCTGCAGCATGTAGGTGCCGCCGTAGATGGCGGAGAGGCGGGCAAAGGCCTGGGGGAGCTCGCCGAGGCCGTAGAGGGGGTAGATGTAGGGGGATTTGCCGTAGCGGGCCATGGAGGCGGTGTAGAGGATGATGCGGTCGATGGTCGCGCGCGCGGGCTTGGTGATGTACTCTTCGTCGAGCCAGAGGGCCATGGCGTGGCCGACAAAGTCTTGGGTACCGGCCTCGAGGCCGAATTTGTAGTAGACGTCCTTCATGGGGACTGTATTGATATCGAGTCCTGGAAAGGGTATGAGCGCAGGTCCGAGCGTAAGAAGGGGGACTTGCCTTGGTGCGTCGCAGGGTCGTCCTCTTTCCAATTCTGGATAAACTGGAAAAAGTTTCTCGCCCGCCTCTTCTCAAACAAGCCCATGAGGGGGCTCTTGACAGCCTCCATCTCGGTGGACGGGACCTTGCTGATCTTGCCGTCGCGGTAGACGTAGGAGCCGGCGATGACTTTGAATTCGAGGTAGCGGGTGACGTCGGTGTGAACGAGCATCTGGGTGAGGGCGCCGGAGGAGAGGATGAATTTGGGGATGAGGTCGACGGCGTAGTCGCGGTCGCGGCCGAGCTGGAGCGACTCGGGGGGGGCTTCGTTGCGGAATTTCTGGTACAGCTGGGAGAGTGTCAGGGGGGCCTACAGGGGGAGGAGAAGGACGTACCTGGGTGAGGTTGAGACTTGCGCTGTCGCCACCGTAGTAGTCATTCCTGTCCATGTGCAGCACCTTCTGGCCGTCGACCGAGAGCAGCCCCGAGAGGATACACTCGGTGAGGCCGGTGCCCAGCACAATAACCTGCTTACGTCAGTCCCCCCCTCTGACATCGATGTACTCACGTCGTATTCCTCGTCCATGGTGATGTGGAGATGTTGAAGAGAGCGCGTCGGGAGGGAAAAGGTCAGACACGTCATACCCGCGCCTATCGCGTGCCTATCCGGGATTTGCGGTAATAGCCGCCGGGGGCGCTGTGGCACGTCTCCTTCTGTCTCTCCCTCCTACTTCTACGTACACAAGCACGATGGCGCAGCCGCAGTACCCCGAGATGGACCCAGACGAGATCGAGGAGGAGGCCTACGAGACAGACACCGCCAGTTCCTCCCAGACAAGCACCCTCACCTGGATCGTACGTCAGAATATCTCTCGCCGTGCCATCATGCTCATTACAAGCAGAACTGGTACACATCCCTCACAGGGCACGACTATTTCTGCGAAGTGCACGAAGAATTCATCGAGGACGATTTTAACTTGACGGGGTTGCAGAGTATGGTGCCCTTCTGGAGGGAGGCCTTGGATATGGTTCTCGACGTTGAGCCTGGTACGCCTCTCATCTATAGGAGACTTGGGGGAGTGCTGATAGATGGCGGGTAGAAGAAGATTCATCAAAGATCCCAGACGTGTCTATCGTAGAGTCTTCTGCCGAGCTGCTCTACGGCCTCGTTCATCAGCGATTCATCCTGACCAAAGCCGGCCTCAGCGCCATGGTGCGTCCCCCTACCACTCTTCCCAAGATACTAACACAAGGGTAGGTGGAGAAATACGACCTCGCCCATTTCGGCGCCTGCCCCCGCGTCTTCTGCAACGCCACCCCGGTTCTCCCCTGCGGCCGCTCAGATATGCCGGGGATTGATACCGTCAAGCTGTATTGCCCGAATTGCGGGGATATGTATACGCCGCCGAGCAGCAAGTATCAGAATGTGGATGGTGAGTTCGTTGTCTGGGGGGAGAGGGGAGGGGTGGGTGGGGGGGCGGGGGAGAGCAATTGAGACCCGGGCGCTGACGCTACAATTCAAGGTGCATTCTTCGGCACATCCTTCGCCCCCCTCTTCTTCCAAACATACCCAGAACTCCACGCCGCCCCATTCGTACCCCCACCCCCCTCTTCTTCTTCTTCCGCCCCGACCCCCACCTCCCACGCCAGCCCGATCGGCGGCACAACCCACCCAAACCCCAACCCCCACGGCGGGCAGAAACCCGCGCTGGGCAAGGTTTATACGCCAAAGATATATGGGTTTAGGGTGTCGGAGAAGGCGAGGAGCGGGCCGAGGATGGGGTGGTTGAGGGAGAGGCCGGCGAGTTTTGAGGAATTATCGAAGGTGGATTATAGGGGGAGGTGGAAGGGGGATGGGGGCGCTGGGGCTGGGGGAGGGGAAGGGGAAGGAGGGAAGGATGGGGAGAAGGATGGGGATGGGGGGAGGGGCAAGAGGGAGAAGGGAAGGTTGTTTGATGAGGATGAAGATGAAGATGATGATGAGGAGGAAGAGGAAGAGGAAGAGGGCGGGGTGGGGGGGAAGGTTGTGCCGGAGAGTAGTGTGGCGGGGTCGGGGAGACGGTGAGCGACCTTGGCTTGGGGGTTGAGTTGGGATGGGGGATGAGAATTATGCTTTTGTGTTTTGGTTTCATTTTTTCTATCTGACTTTATGACGGACGGCAGATGGCAGACCTATGTAGAAGACTTTTCGACTGTATGCTTCATTCGGAAGGAGTGGGAGCAGCACAGAGTGGGATGTCATTGCTCAAGTACGTATCATGTCGAGAGAGACGTGTAAGTGTCTGACAAAAAGATTGATATGTGGTTGGAAAGATACAAGTTTGCAAGAATGGGGGTCTTGCAAAGATAACCCTGCACTACTCTTCTCGCTCCAAACGTCTCGACGTGTACACAATCTCTCTACATTCCTCGCACCTCTCTGTAGCCCTTGCACCTCTCTGTATTCCTTGCACCTCCTGGCCGCTCTTCACGACACGCAATTCCTGTAACGCCAATCGTAAAAACATAATCATTGATATACATCCAGCCGAATGCTACTAAAGAAAACCGAGATAAGGACAGCGAATGAGGGGTATTGATTGATGGGGTTCTGGCGGGGCCTTTTTGTGTTTTGGGGGTGGGGGCGGGAGGGGCCAAAGAAGATAGGGGCGGGATTAATGGGTTCGGGCTTTAGCTCCTGCGTTGAGGGGTCAGCTTTCCGTTCGGCACTGAAGACTGTGGGGATTGATGAAAGGATTTCGTCAAGCGTGCGGAATAGCGCAAGCAGAAAATGGTTGAGGCTGAAGGAAAAAGAAGAGAGGGGGAAAAAGAGGAAGAAGGAAGAAAACAGAACGTACCATCGACATACATGTTCCTCGTAGCGGACGGTAAGGTCGCGACCATGCCGTCTAGTTCTTTTGTGAGTCTGCATTGGCAGCCGAGTCGAGATCTGCGTGAGGGGCGATTAGCTAATGTCAAGATATGGTGTATAGGAGTGAGGTGAATGGGCGGGGGGGGTGTGACGGCGGGTCCTTCTACGCTTCAGGCTCGTGCCCCTTGACTCTCGCTCGCCACAACTCAAAACCCCATTCTCCCGAGCAGAACCACCACCATAAAATGGTTACTCACGTATCTTCAAGACCAAAGGCCAAATCCAGCATATCATTCTCCTCATCATCCGCCTCGGGCAAGAGGTCGAAACTGGCGGGGTCTATTATGACGTGGCATGTTGAGCAGGCGACGGAGCCTTCGCATGCGCCTGTCAAGTACCATTAGCATGAGGTCTCCTAGAGAGAGGGAGAGAGGGTAGACGCACCTTCGAGGTCGACATCGTATTCGTGCGCCAGGGAGAGGATGTCGTCGCCTTCGTTGCCTTCGACGGTTTTGATATCGGCGCCGTTCGAGTCTCGGAATATCAGCTTGATGCTATCAAAACGAGTTATCAGTATGGTGTTTTGGGGCTAGGGGGCGAGAGGGGGTTGGAACGTACCCGGTACCAGGCTCAGGCCGGACGAGGTCGCCGTGATATCGCGCTACAAGAGTCAGCTCCCCGCCCATTACCGGACGTGAGATGAAGAGCACTCACGAGGAGTGGATGATATTCCCCTCTTGCCCCCAAACCGCAGACCCATTTCAGATACGACGGCAGGCCGAGGAAGGACGTGATGTAATCTCTTGCTGGGGATTGGTCTGAGGGAAGTGGCAAAGGTGCGCAATTGCTGCAAGAGCGGGGAGGAGCGGGGCATGGTTGAGAGTGTAGAGCGGGGGTTGGTGTGTGGGGGTTAAGTGGAGGGGGAATGGAAGGGGAATGGAGGGTGGAAAAGATGGGGGTGGGTGGAAATTGTTGGGAAAATAAATGAACGCGAGCAGACTCGGCGACGGCGACTTCGGCTAACTGGGCGGGGGCCGCCGCCGGAGAGGCTTGCTGAAGCGTGCGTGGATAAGAGAGCCAGGAATTTAAGAGGGTGCAGGGGGGATGTATCCAGGACATGAAGGGAGATAGTAGCAGCAAATCATATGATTTCATCTGCATACAAGCCTGTCCCTCAATTCTGTCCATCGTTCTCTCGGCTCTCGTCGTTGCTGGACCGGGCAAGGAACTGTTGCCATCTGACCGTCTGTCCACTCTCGCTATATGCTTTGTAAATTCGACAAAGTCTATCATCTGTGTCCTTTCCAATCTCGGTCAGCTTTTCCATATGGGCCTTCGTATGTGCACTCCTCTGTCGCTTTGGGCTCTACCGTCAGCCTTGTAGCAGCGCTCACAGATACTTACACAGTCATAACACAAGCTATGTTGGCTTCCCAGAACTATAGTGCTCGGACATTGCGGACCTTCATAAGGGAACGTTTTCCTCTTACCTCCCACCCTCTAGTAGGAGAAAGTTTGTACTACCGGACACGGGCATGCTGTTCCGATAATTGAACTATTGGTATGACTACGGGTGGCAGTAGTAAGCTGCTCTTGTTGAGAGGTGCTCTAGCCTTCAGAGTTTTGGATATCTGTATGACCTTGCAGATAGTCATCCTCGTCATCGTCGTGATACTCTTCCAGGTCGTCATTTCGATATCCCCCTTCATACGCTTCTTCGTCGACTTCTTCCTGTCGCAGTGTACGATAGTATGGGTGTCGACCAAGCGGGTTCCCATTGTCCAACGTCAATGAGTCGGGGTAGACATAGTTGGCTTGTTCGCGCTGAAGCAAATCCAGTCAGCGAATTCAGACGAGAAGGGTGGGCTTTACTGACCGAATCCGGTTGCGACATTATTTGGTGTTCGGTTTGTGGGATAAAATGTGGGTAGCAGAACGGCACTGTCCTCTATTTATATCCCGTCGACTACTAACGGCATATTGTATCTCTTTTATCAAGAAGTTCTCGTGGAATCAAACAATGGGCCGGCAATCATATACGAGGCCCAACGCTACCATCCTTTCGATTATCAAACAACTCTCCCTTGTCGAGATTCAGAAACCGCTCGACGATGTTTTAATGGCAACTCCTTTCCTTGGACGAGCTGTTCATATGATAGAATTTTGATGAGGGAGTCAAAGAAAGAGAGACGCAGAGGTAAAGGAGAGACTCCGCGAAATAAGGTGCTCATTCTCATCGTCCTGATGAGCTCTGTTTGATAGTCGTTCCCCCTATTCACATATCCAATCCTCTTTACCTTATCATTACGATACATGCATGACGTATTACCGGCACAGGTCGCTACTGTCATGTCCACGCTATGAGTGACGAGCACACCGTCGTCGACACTTCGAGGTCGAGCGACGACTGCTGATGTACTGGGTGTTTGCTTCTGTAAGTCCAACAGTTGCTGCATGCTCATGGGACAAACGTATTCTCTGGCCCTCTTCTGACTCCTTAGAATAGGGCATCACACACGGTACTTCTACTAACAAGCTGCAATGAAAGCTCAGCCCTTCTCGCGCGTTTGTAGTACCACATTACCCCCACAATTTGTTCTTGCATGCCTGTATATGTTTTGCTCTTACAAGGTACATACTCCACTATTCTCGGTACCATTTTCATCTTCAGAGCCGATAGACATCCTGTCACAATCAGCTTATAGGCCGGTATCAAAGACCTGACGCTGTTGCCATTCAATCAACACCTTTCCCGTTAGACTGATGATTAGCAAGCATTCCAACGCGAAGCCTTCTCGAGTGCATGTTACGCAGTGTACGTGGTAGATTTGCAATTTGCATCTCATCAGCTCAGTCGACCAGTCGGTGACAAGCCTCGGAATCACTCAACTCTCTCTTTCTCAAAAACGATCTCGCACGATGTCTTCTTACTTGACTCATCTCATCCCCGTCCTTCCTTCCTTTTAAGTCTCTAGTCTGCCCGATTACCACATCCCAGACCAAAATCGCGCTATGTAGAGTGATGTGATAACTGACCATGGCGATACGCTTCTCCTTTGATGTTTCTCGCCCACCAAGGCATGCGCTGCGATTGCTTCTCGCAATGTACAACATAAGGTTTGCTGCCAAGTCGTTGAGAAAGATGCGAAAAGTAGTCTCCATGTTCCCAAGTGCAGAGCGTTTGCGGCACAGAGAGCTAAGTATCGCAAGCGACGGGGACGAAGAGATGTCATATCATCGCACGTTCATCTATCGTCTTCCTTACGGTTGGTAGCGCTATCCGAAAGGTGCGTCGTCGCTTGTCTTTTCCATTGTGTGTGCTGATAAAAGTAGTTTGCCGAGTTTGGTCTCTCCCACTGGGGCGACACCCAAGGCGTCAACATCACCCGTCGATTCCTCTGCGAAGCCCTCTCATTCCAACATCGCTACATCCCCATCGGTCTCCTCGAACGTAGGCTGAGAGTTGAGTGTATATGAGCATTACCGAAGAGTCTATGATTCCCCCCCTTCCACTCGATTACGCATTACAATCAAAGATAATGGCCGAAACGAACACAAAGAACGACTCGAACACCAACGCTTCTTCCACAAGATACATTCTCCCTCTATGAGGCGAAAAGCGCTGATAAACTCTTTTCAACTAGGACGTTCACCAGTAGCATGGTGCCTACTATCCCGGCGGATCAGCGTATCAGGTGGGATGCTTCTGATGTCGAGAGTAGGACGCAGGGATACCACGCTTCCATGAGCTCGACCAGTCAGCCCAAGTCGCGGTATAGCTCGGGCAGGTCGAAGGCCGCGCATAACCCTCGAGTGTATGACCAGACTAGGTTTGAAGCGATTCTAGCTATAAGATTTGTGATGGATGTTGACTGTTATGAGTGTTTGATGGGGTTAAGAGTGATCATTCAACGCTTCTGAGGTGATACGTCATCTAAAGACTTGAGCGAGACCTTTGCATCATTGGCTTATATCTGTTTTCGGGAATCTACTATGGTACATACTCATCTGGCATCGCCACACTCTGCGGTCCCCGGATCCCCCTCGGCGGCCACCTCCCATCTTCCTTCCACTCCACCTCCCACTCATACCTCCCACTCCCAACCACCTCATCCACCCCTTCCAACACCACCCTCGCCTCTCCATTCGGCGGCACTTGCACCTCCACATGCATCTTTCCCTCGTCCGCCACCACATACCACTTGACCGCATACCTCCCCAAAGCCGAGTCAAAGCTCGTCTCGGCGCTCCGGACTGTGCCCCCGACCATGGGCTTGACGAGGGCGCGTTTCCATCCGGGGGTGAGGGGGGAGAGGCCGCCGATGTATTTGTGCATAAAGTGGGCTACGGCGCCGAGGGCGTAGTGGTTGAAAGAGGTCATTTGGCCGGGGTTGATCTTGCCGTCGGGGAGCATTGAGTCCCAGCGTTCCCACTGCCATCATCGTTAGCGGTGGAATTCGAGAAGATGGGGAGGCTGGAGGGAAGAGTATGAGGACTGACAATTGTAGTAGCGCCCATCCCGACAGCGTAAAGCCACCCCGGACAATCCTTCTCTTGCAACATCCTATAGGCCAAATCCTCCATGCCCCCCTCCGCCAACACTGTCAAAAGGATCGGCGTCCCCGCAAAGCCCGTCGACACTTTGAAACTATTCCATCTCACCAGAAACGCCAGTCTCTCCCTCGCTGTCTTCTTCTGCGCCTCATCAGGGAGCAAGTCGATTTTGAGCGCGAGAGCGTAAGCCGTTTGGGTATCAGATACGAGTCTGCCTTTTGGGGAGACGTATTCGTCTAGAAAGAGGGTATGGAGGCGTTTGGCGTCGGAGGTGTATTTGGAGATGATGGAGGGGGGTTTGGAGAGGAGGGTGCTGATGTGGGCGACGAGGCGGGTGACGTGGACGAGGTAGGCGTTGGCGACGAGGTGGGTGTCGGTACGGCCATGTGCGGGGTATTGCGCTGCTCCTCGTAAGCTAAGCTTCATGAGCAAAAAAAAAGGAGGTTGTACGTACGAGGCGCGTTGGGGTCTAGCCAGTCCCCATACAACTCTGCATCCCCACTCCACATCCCGTCCTCCCCTCTCGGCACACCCTTGTCCAACCACGCTCTCATCCCCTCCCACCCCTGCTCTAAAACCTCAACATCCCCCGTACTCTTATACAGATCCCAAGGGAGGAGCGCCACGACGTCAGCCCAGGCGGCTTGCGGTTTGGGGAGCTGAGAGTTGAATTTGTTGGGGGGTACGTAGGGGATGACGGTTGGGGGAACGCCGGAGTGGGTTTTTTGGGAGGCGTAGAGGTCGAGAAGCCAATCTGAGAGGAAGCCTATTTGAGGTCAGTAATACAGCGAGAATGGGGAGGAGATGGAGACGTGCTGGTGGTATCGAAAAGATAGTTTGCCGTTGGCGCGAAGACTTGGATATCGCCCGTCCATCCGAGCCTCTCATCTCTCTGCGGACAGTCGGTAGGCACTAAACTCGATCAGCTTTTTTCTCAACGAAACATAAAGAAGACCTACCAGATACAAAATTGCCTTTCATACCCCAAACGACATTCTCATGCAACTGGTTGATAGCTTTGTGGTCCGACTTGAAGTATCCCGTACGCTGCATGTCGGAGACGATGACGATGGCGGTAAAGTCTTTGGGGGTGGGGTTGATGCCTTCCACTTCCAAATATCTGAGGTATTGTCAGTGGGAAATACTGGAAGAGAGAGAGAAAGACTCACCTGAAGCCGTGAAAAGTAAACTTGGGCTCCCACCCTTTCGTCTCGCCGCCCAAGATGATCCGATCCTCGCACTCGGCAGTCCTCAACGGCCGCATACCCAGCTCTCCGTCTTCTAGCACCTCCGCATGCTTCAAAACCACCTCGCCCCCTCCCTCAAAGTCTCGTTCGATACGCAGCCAGCCCACCAAGTTTTGACCAAAGTCGAGGACGTGTTTGCCGGAAGGGGTGGTGATGATCTCGATAGGGTTGATCTCTTGTACGCGACGGACGGGAGGGGCGTCAGAGGATAGAAGGCTGGCGGTGGGGAAGGGAAGGATCTCGACGGGGGAGAAGACGGGGTGGGAATAGTCGTAAGAAGAGTCGAAGGTCTCGCCATTGTAGATCTCTCCCCTCTTGACCGGCCCATCCAAACACTGCCACCCTTCCTTCTCGCTCCTCAGCACGACTTGCTTTCCCACTTCGATCTGCCCCATCCATCCCAGCCTCTCGCCCCAGTTGTTTCGCTTCCCAGGCCGGCCGAGTCTGCCTGCGTACCAGCCCTCGCCGATGTAGGTTTCGATAGTGTTTTCGCCGGGGTGGAGGAGGGAGGTGATGTCGTAGGTTTGGTAACGGAGGTGGTCGTTGTACTCTGTCCAGCCTGGGGCGAGAACATGGTCGCCGACGGGGGTACCGTTGAAGGTACACGAGTAAAGACCGAGAGCTGTTGTGTAAAACCGGACGGGGGAAGAAGGGTTGAGAGAAGGGAGGGAGAAGGTTTTGACGAGGCGGAAGGGGATTTTGGGGAGTTCGGGGTCTTGAGGAGGGCCGGAGATGAGTTCTGCTGACCAGTCGGAACGCAGGAGAAGACCAGCTTCAAGCGTGAGGTCGATTGTGTTTGTCCCCTCCCCATCTTGACCGAAAGCTTGCACTTGGACCCTCGCCCTTCCCCTCGACAACAGCTTCCTCGAAGGCCATGGAACGAGCACATTCTCCGCACTGTTCACTTGGTACACTTCTTCCTTCGCTCCCTCATGCGTGATGGTGAGGCGGTATGAGGCTTGTTTCCAGCGCTTGGAGGTAGAGGAGGCGAAGCGCCAGGAAAGGCGAGGGGCTGGGTGGGAGATGGCGAAGCCGTCTGGGTGATGCTCGGCTTGGAGGGCGGTGATGGTGACTTGAGACATGGGGATGAGCCGGGAGGTGGGATAGGAGGAGCATGGTATGCAGAGGTCGGTGCATTATAGGAGAGGTGGAGATGTCGGACGTCGGGGAAGGGCTCGAGGGGCCGACGGACTGTCTTTTATCCGGCAGTTGTTGACAGCCGATCTCTTGTCGAGGGCGACTTGGAGAAGGATGGGTACTGTGAGTCGGAGAAGCCGATCAAGAAGCACGATTCAACACCAGCTGGAGTCTGTTGCTTCTACTGAGGGCTCTTATCAGCGCAAATCGTCGAGCATGGCCGGAACGTACCGTCCACCTCATATGACACTCTCTTTCGACAATAGATATACACGCTGGCGACTTGGAGGAGACTAAACGTGGGCAGCAGTGTGTATCGAGAGCGGGGTCAGGGTTCGGGATCGTCATATACACGGGACATGTTGAGGGATATTGGTGTTGAGGGTTGTAGGTATGCGTTCGAGCGCTGAAGGGATCTGTCGCTGATGTGAGGCATGTGTACAAGAGTGCATGTATGACCTGGGAGGCAAGTCGTCTCTCTATTCAAGCTATACGAGCACGCAGAGAGAGAACATGGTCGACGCACTCTATGGTATACTGAAAAGTCATCTGCGCAGTCTATCTCCCAGGAATTGGGTAAACAAATGTGTTCTGGAATTAGAAATGTTCCGAGTGTTAGCGCGATCGATTAGCCTTTGCGATGACGCGCCCGCCCCCTCGCAGCTGCAAAAAACTGTTTCGTTTCTGCGCATTCCCTCGCGACGCCCATCTTCCCTTTCTTCTCCCGCCATGTCCTACCGACTGCTTCAAGACTCAATACCCCGTGCCATGGTCAGACTCGAGGAAGGCAGGAACTGGGCAAAGCAAGTGCCCCGGCGGAAGGTTGTCATCATGGTCGTCGCTGCAGTCAGCGTACTGTTGCTTTTGCACGGCTTTGTCGCGTTCTGGCCTACGCCTGATAAGATGTCTATGATACAGTGAGTCCTATCATTGCCCGGAAGTTATGATTCTGATACGGCGATAGACCCCTCGAGTCATTCCACGATTCCGGCAAGACATTACGACGCGACTCTTGGATATCTGTCAGCGACTACGACATGTCGGTATCTTCTCTTCCACCTCTAATCACAGGCTGACCCGCTCCCAGCGTCGTTGCCCACTATGACGAAGACGCCAACATGATGCGCGAATCGATAGACGCTGTCCTCCAACGCCTTCCCGAGGGCAAAACACACCGCACAATCATCTACCACAAGGGCGACCGCAACAAGGCCGGGCTGAGGGAGCTGCTGGAGTTTGCGGATGAGGTGACGCAGATCCCGAATGTGGGGAGAGAGGGAGAGACGTACCTTGTGAGTTTGGCCATTGTTCGGGGAGCCGACTGACTTGTGTTTTTTTTCAGAACCATATCGCGAGAGTGTACAACGAGCCCAAGACTGGTCTTGCTGGACATACCCTTTTCATGCAGGTGCGCATACCCCCACCTTCTGTTGTGCAGGCTGACACGCGTATAGCCCCATCTGGCCTGGCACTGGGTCTTCATCCCCCGACTTGAAAAGCTCCTCCGGCCGAATACCGGTTTCTTGTCTTTCGGGCCTTATATCAACCAGACGTGTGGACTTGATGAGAATGCCAACTCTTTCCCTCGTCTTGCCGATATCTACTCGATGTTCCGGAATGACTTTTGCCCTCCTGTTCCTCAACTCGTACGTCCCGCCTTCCCCCTCTTCCCTCTCTTCCCGTCCCTTCCTCCACCGTACCCTTCCGCTGCCCCCCTCTGCTATCTTTGTTCCATCGCTGATCCTAGAATAGGCTACATGGGCAGGCCAATTCATCGTCTCTCGAAAACGTATCCTCGACAACCCCCTCCGGACATATGAGAATCTGAGATCAAAGTTCCATGCGGTGCCGGAACATTGGATTTGGAAAGAGGGATGGTGGAATAACAAGCCTTCGAACCCTACGCTCGGTGAGTCTTTTCCTTCACTGTCTCTGATATTCCCTCGTATATTCTCCTCGCTCTCTCCCTACTCCTCCCATCGCTCCGCCCCATTTTCGTCCTCTAAGAACGCACGCTGATTTTCCATCACAGGACACGCCCTCGAACGCGGCTGGCCCCTCATATTCGACTGTACAGACGGTACCATGTCGGTCTCGTGTCATGAAGGTAGTGGGGAGACGTGTCAGTGTTTGGATTGAGCGTTTTTCTTGGGATTTTCAAGGAGGTTTCTGAGAATGGGTGTAGCGCTGCGGGAGAGAGCGTTGGGGTAAGCGCGTATGGATGGGTATGGGTATGTGGAGTTCGAAATTTGAATTTGGATTTGCGGACTTAGGGCTTGAGGATTCGGGGATCTTGGGAGGGGGCTGTTTTTAGTTGTATCCGTACGACGACGTGGGCTCTGGATATCAGAGCTTGCATGATGCATTATAGACATCTTGATATACTGGAGGAGACTGTCAATGATGATCGTACTGAGCAGAGTAAGTGCGATGGGAGGACGTAGCGGGTAGATCAGGAGCTTATGATGCAAGATCGCGTAGAAAAGCTAAAGTTTATGGATGTGGGCCAAAGTCCAAAGCCGGTCGAGAGAGTCGACAAGATGCAGGGCTTGCAAGTACGGTACTATATCGAAGCGCAGGCTACCTGATGTAGATGGGTATAAACAGTGACATAGGCTACATTTTGATGGATAGTCCGTGGTATATCTAGAACTCTATAAACATCTTTCGCACACAGAATCTTCACCATACACACTTCAGGACGCCAAGGACGCCTACTCGCCTACTTCAACCTCCTCTCAGTGTTGCGTCGCCCATTAACCCAGTCGGGCTCGTTGAGAGTCATCTCGGGGGTACCGAACAGCGCAGCGTCGACGGCTTCGACACCGAGCATGAACTATCGCTAATGTTAGCTTGCATCCCACCACGAACGAGATGAGGAGAAAGGGGGAGGAGAGAGGAGGACGTACAGAGTGGTCTTGGTTTCCGACTTCATACTTCCAGCTTCCGAATCGACCGCGGGAGAGGATACCGAATTCGTTTTGGAGAGTGGGGAGGATTGCGGAGATGGCGGCGTCACGGCCGAGGGTGGGCGTAGGGCTATCATCAGATCAGTAAAAATGCAAGAGGGGAAGGGAAGGGGGACGTACTAGCCGTGGTCGAATCGCCTTTGGTACAAGCTCACAACTTCATCCTCCGGCCTCAACAGCTCTGTCGCCACAGCGCCCTTGACCGTTTCGGCGATCAAAGTGTCCAAGTTGACAGGCTTGTCCTCGGATTGGCAGACTTCCAGCATGAGGGACCAGTAGGGGCCTTCCTTGGGGGAAGCGTCGAAGGGGAGGGAGGCGTCGGCTTTTTGGAGAGTGGGGAGGGCGGTGGAGGAGGTGGGGCAGTGGTGTGGGGAGTAGTTGGAGAAGATGGTGGCGCGGTAAAAGGGGGCGTTGTCTTCCGGGAAGTAGAGCCAGCCTGTACGGGTGTAAGCTCAGAAGCAGGGAAGAAGGAGGTGGACGTACACTTGTCGCCGATTCTCTCGGGTCGCTGACCTCGGATTCCAATACCCAACACGATAGTGCTCGAATACACCAAGCCCTCCTTCGCAGCGACCTTCATTCCCTCCAATTCCTTCTCCTTGCCCTCAGCTTCCAGTCCCTCCAGCAGATGGTCTACCGCCATAGTCGAAACCAAGTGCTCGTACTTGACCTGCTGGCCGTCGGCAAAGGTAGCGATTTTGGAGACAGCGTCAATTTTGGAAACGGTGCCGGATTGGGAGCCGAGGCGGAAGGAAGAGGAGGGGAGTTGGGCGGCGACGGCGGTCCAGATACCGCCGGTACCGTCGTGGGTGGGGAAGCGGAAGGTGGCGTTGGGACCCCAGTTGGGGGCGGTCTCCATGGTGAGGGCGTTCTTGACGGCAGCGCGGACGTTGGGGGCAGCGACTCGCTCACCGAGCCATTTACATTGCATCTAGCTCATCATCAGTAAGGAAAGAGCATGAGGAGGAAAGGACGCACCTTGGTGGTTTTGACACCCCAGACCTTGAAATTGTAAGGCCTCATGAACAAATCGGCGATACCCTCGCCCGTGTTGCGGAGGATCCACTCGTCGAAATTGGTGGGCTTTTCGTTGGGGGTGGCGGCACGGTGCTCTTGGGCGGCGATGAGGCCATCGATGGCTTTTACTCGGAGCTCGAGGGGGAGTTGGGAGACGTTGTTTTGGTAGGGGTCTGGACGCGAGTCAGTCGGGCTACGCGTCTGTGAGGGGAGAGGACGCACAAGGGACCCATTTGCCAGCACTTCGGACGTAGGAGATACGCTGGTGCGTCTGCCAGTCCTCGTCGCGAGGGAGAGCACGGTTGATTGTGTCGTCAAAGTACGCGTAGTGACTGAAGACCTGCGCGCAAAGGTCAGTACAACTACAGGTTCAAGTGCCACGCGACGTACGACGTGGCCTCCGACATCCCAGTAGAAGCCCCGGTCGTCAATGTCGGTAGCAGCGAGACCACCGGCCTTGTCTGCGCTGTCGACGATGAGGAAGGAGCGCTCGAGCTGGTTGAGACGGGTGGCAGCGCCGAGACCGGTCTGGGGGGGTTAGCTGGGCCAAGTGGCAGAGAGGACTCACGGGTCCAGCGCCAATAACGAGGGTCTCTACTTGTTGTACTTGTTGGGGGGCCATCGCGGTAAAGATGCAGTAAAGATGCAGTTGAGGGATGCTGCGATGCACAGTTTTCAGCTAAAAACAGCCCCAGCCCGGAACCAAATCCGCCAAAGCCGCGCTAGTGCCTGTGACGGCGGTGACATCCCCCCACGCCTATTCGATCCCACGACTTTGGAATCATTTTCCGCCCATCTTTATCCGAGAATTGGGCTGCCCGCTTTCTCGGTTCCTCGTGTCGTCAACAATTCTTTGTTTTCATTCATTTCATTCATTCCTCGGCTTAGATGTCCCGCCTATAAATCCACCACCCTACCTTCTCGATGCCCACTCGCTCGACCATCCTCTTTGTCGGCGCACTCACCGCCGTCTCCCTCTTCCTCCTCACCGCCCATCTCCACCCCGGAACAGAGTTCACCCTCCCCCTCTTCCCCCAGCCCGACGCTCAAGACGACTACTTTCAAGCCGCCTGGCCAGCGCTCACAGAGGCCGAAAATCGACATTTGACCCAGCAGCAATGTCAGGATACCTACCCCGACTTGTACCTCGAGGCGGATAGGGCGCACGACTGGTACAAGGCGAAAGGCGGGATTACGAGGTCGATGGTGGATCAGGCCGAGAAGGAGGGGAACGCGAGGCTCGTGATCCATCAGAATCAAGTGAGCCTTCCCCTCTATACCGAATGTTTGCTGATAGCGGAATAGCTCTTTGTCAAAGTATACAAGGGCGGCATCAACACGAGGACGCAGGCCGTTATCGCCGGTGTGTATGCTGCCATTTTGACTTCTCCCGAGCCTCTACCGGACGTCGAGTAAGTCCCGAGCTCAATGGCAGATCAAGCTGACGAGTGGGATAGGTTTGTTGTCCAGACCAGCGACGCCGGTGCTGGCAAAACCCCTATCTTTGCCCTCTGTCGAACAGCGAGCCAGAAAGCTCTTTGGCTTATGCCGGGTACGTCCTTCTCCGCTTCTCCCCCCACTCCTTACCTGCCCCCTCGCCCCTTCTCCACCCCCCTCTTCGTTCCCCTTGCTGACCTTGATCACAGACTTTGGTTTCTTCTCATGGCCCGAGCCCGGAGTCGGCTCCTACTCTGAAGTACGCGCCAAAACCCTCGCTTTCGAACAATCATTAGGGCTGGAGGTGGATAGTGGGATGGAGGTGATCAAGGGGGATTGGGAGAATAAAACGGACAAGTTGTTTTGGAGGGGGAGTCCGATGGTTGAAGTTAGGCATGTGAGTTGTTTCGTTTGGGTGGCGGGTTTGCGTTCGAATGTGTGGGGGATGGCGTATGGGGGGCTGGGGTTGTACTCGTGGGTATACGCGAGGCGCTTTGTATGACACTGCTGCGCTTGTGTGTTATGCGTTGAATGTCCCACCCCCCTCCCCTCTTCTACGACTTCTCTCTCTTCGCTCTCGTTCTTCCGACCTCCCCGTCATTCCTTGTCCCTTCTCAGTCTCTCTTCCTCTCTCTGCTTGACGACCGAGGTGAAGAGTGAAGACAGCCCCTGTCCAGTGCCCCCCTCCGAAGGTGGGTCATGCCGCCCTGCGCATCTGTTCTCGAGTTCTTGGGACGCGAGTGCACCATCAACATTCCCTCGCACTCGTCAATCTCAAATCTCAGAACTGGTCGAGTCGTGGCAATCATCATCTCCAAAGATACCCGCCCCCCCACTCCTACCATATAACAAAATACGAAACAGATACATCTCCTGCATCAAGATTATACTCCCCCCTTATCGTCTAACGTCTATGTGGATCCCAATGCGTCTTGCCCATCAACACAAAACTCTCATACGGCGCCGCCCCTTCGATACTCGGTACGAACGCCTGCACCTCTGCATACTTGTGTAAGAGGTAGCGAAAGTAGCAATCACTATCCCCAAATCAGCGCTACCCAAACCACAAACCCACGAACCCAAAAGTAAAGTCAAAGAACGACCCCAGAAACTCAAAAACTCACTTTGCAGCCGGACTGATATACCCCTGCCTCATCCCCTTCCACCCATTCTCCGCAATCCTCTCCACCTTCTCCCTACTCTCCTCCTTCAACAAACCCTCCATTACCCCCTCCAGATTCTGCTCGAACGGTAAAGGGACTTCGACATAATTCTGCTCCGGGTGGCCGTCTTGGCCGTTGATGAGGTGGTGGTAGTGCTGGATGTATTGGAGTTTGTGGCCGACGATGACGGAGCGGCATTGTTGGAGGTACCTGCTATTATGTCAGCTTTGCTACAGCGAGGGAGGGAAAAAGGTATAGCAGTTCAAAAAGACAAAAGGGGCGAGCGACAAAGACAAGAGGCCGAAGGGGAGAAGCCAACTCACTTCAACCTCCCACTATACGCATACCCCTCCACATGCGCCAAAAACTTGTACTGACAATGCTCAGCCGGCGTCTTGATATCCCCATTGTTCTTCAGCCTCTCCTTCTCGTCCCCGTTGATAGCGCCCCAGTTGAGTTCTTTGACGTCGGACCAGGGTTGATTTTGGACGGCGCGGAGGAGGTCCTGGACGAGGTGTCAGCGGTTGTCCTTCAGAGAGGGAAATGAAGGTGAAGAGGAAGATTGGGAGAGGAAGACTGGGAGAAGGGAACAGGGAATGAACGGGGAA